CAAGGTTCTGAATAGGAGACACCCCTGTTTCGGACAGAGAACAGTACGAAAGCCTGCCTGAACAGATCCAGGTATATCAGGTGCAACTTTTTGCTACTTTATATCTTTATTTGCCAACTGATTCAATTTTTTACATATTACACGGGATTGGAGAGAGTGATGGATTTGGTCTCCTTATCATCATTTCCTTTAATTTTGACTGGCTTATCAAGACTCATGCCAAATAGCCCATTGACCAATTGTTGGAAAGTGAATGATTAATCCTTTGCTTAATTGCTAAAATATTGCTCCTAGAGTGGCTACAACAAGCTCGAAAATCTCGGCTACTCGTCAATGACAGATGAACTCATGCGGGGACGTTACGAAGTTATACTGATCTCTTAAAATGGGATAAAAGTGACTTCACATAGCAACTGCCACTGAAGCACAATCAACGCGATGTCGTGACAATCGTCCTTCTGTTATTCGTAATCATAACCTGATAAAGTTTGAATTTAGTAAATGACCATTAAAGAAATAATGTCACATGTTAATTCCCCCCTAAACGAGAGTCGATTTGCAAGTGAGCTTCAAAATGATAAAAGTAACACTGGGTCTGAGAGGGCAGGAGGGAGGATTACTGGTAACTGCAGCACTGGGCGGCGCCTCTTGATACGCGGCATAAATTTTGTCTGGACTCTAAACGGCGAATCTACAGTGAAAAAAAAATTTCTAAAACGTGTTTCAACCCGCAGCTTCCTGACGCATATTGGACTTATAAGAAGCTGAAAGACACACATATTACCATTTTTGGATATGTCAAGTGTACTGGCAAAGTCTACCAACTGCAGAACAGTTTTGGAGTAAGGCTTGGTAAAAAATAAGATTTGAATGGCTCACTGTATTTTTTACCCGAGGAAGTCGAATTAGGCATGTATCAACACGGCCTATTTCCTTCTTCACATAAACGTTAATTTTGTGCCCTAACTAATTATTTTGATTGCTTTTATCCAACAATCCAAAAGTTTCAATCAAACCCTCTTAGTTTCTCTTGATCACAGTGATATTTTTTCAAATAGCGTTGAATTTTTGAAGCGCGATTTCATAAGCACCCAATTAACTAGATTTCTTTGATTAAATTACCCTTACATTATGAAAGAGCTGCCCTCTTGGGGTATGCATTCAGCTCCAAAAGACGAAAAAGAAGAAAGAGGGGTGCTCGAAACGGTGACAATGCCTTTAGGGTGCTGGGTGTGCTTAAGCCCGCCGGTGGAGTTTGTGCACATGCGAGTTGATACCTGCACGGCATAATGCATGCGCGTGTACACACAAAGACTGCCGTGAGTTCAGCCCCTCGTAGGCATACGCACCCACACCCACACACTCAAACGCACACCTGAAATGGGCGGTCGTTGATGCCAGGCCTTCCCGCCGCCTCAACTCCTGCAGGATGAGTCAGCACTCTCAGAATTGTGCATCGGCCTGCCTGCAAGCTTGCGTGCTCATGTGTGTGCCTTCTAAGTTGGTCGGAGGTCAAAACACAGAGTCCGCACGCATATGCCATCCTCCCCAAATGTGGTGTCTGAGGGCGACAGTTACTACCCGCATGTCGTCTGGAGATAAGGGCATAGTTTCGGTCCGACCTCATCTGATCTTTCGGGGCTTATGGTACTCAGTAGCGTTTGTTATCGCCACCACCACTACCACCACACGAATAAGTCAACCATATCTCTCCCTTCTGCAAAATGGCCATTATAAAATAATTCTACATTTCCTCATACCAACTTCTTAAGCGATAGATCACTCCAGTGAAGGATTTTATGTGTCTTCCTGCTCGCTACTTTTTCAACACCAAAGAGAGCCTTTAGCCAATATTGCGGTTGGGAGATAGCAAAGAGTAGGTATTTTGGGTTAAGTATCGTCGGGTTTAACGTAATAACAAATAGTAATTATTCCTACACAAATTGAGACAAATACCCCCATATACCATGGTAGGTAAAAATAGTTAAAAAGATAAATGTGGGGAATAGTGCATGTGCTAACTCGCCCATCAAGTTCTGCAGGGTAAGTGAAGCTACCCATCCACTAGCGCTTCTACAGCTCATTGTCTTCTCCCCCCCAAGCACCATTTACCTTTCACCGCTCATCACGACTCATGGAAGGGAGAGGAAGGGGTGACACCTCGTCCAGTCTGTACCACAGTTGTACACGACCATCTTCATTTTTTGAGATAAAGATGCAGAGGAGTTGGTTACTGAAAATTAAATTCTATGAACAGTTCTGTTTTCATTCCTGTTTCCCACGTCAAATAAATTCTTAAAATGGTAAGATATAAAAATGTAACTATTTTTTCCTCCCCAGGATTTTTGTCGAACATTTATGCAAGCACAACTGGTATAAATGAGTCCTTTCCAAATGTTTTTAACTTATTTGTGTACGCAACATAATGACTATACTGACTTTGTGCCGACTGATAGTTTTAACCACATCATTCACCAACTCGTTATTGCGCAAATTTTCTTTTTAATGAAAATATAAGTTGCAAATGTTATAAGCGGAGGTCGGAGGGACACATGATTGGCCGTTGAGCGCGCGATTCCTCCCCTCTCCTACGCATGGCGCAGAGGATACATAGCCTACCGCCCTATTCCCCTGTCCCCATACGCGCTGCTACTTCTTATTGGTTCGCAGCATAGATAAAATGTTTTGGGCTTCCATTCACTAAAAGCAGTCAAGACCAGAGTTGAGTAGTTGGGAGGTGGGTGATCTTTGATGAGCAAATGTCATAAGCACATCAAACTCAGGTGTGCGGGCATGTGGTGATAGGTAAGGACCATTACCGCCATCTCGTCCGTACATCTTCAGGCTCCATGCACCCACCAGAACCCTCATCTCCGGGACGTGATCGATTGCGTTCTGCTTTTCAGAAATAGACCATGGCATAAAGCTAGGCATAACCTCAACTGTCACACCTTGGTAACGTACCAAACAGGCTGCATTCATTTAAATATGTAAGCATTTCGTATGAGAACTTATCTCTAATACTTCAGTTGAGCCTAACTCCTCAGATTCGGGTTATGGAAGAAGCCAATAGATATCCGAAAATAATTTATCGTTTAAAAGCAAGAAGAGAAACAGTGTGTTCCCTCCTGTTAGGGAACAAAGTGTAGCAGATAGGTCAGGGTATCAGAATCTCGAAAGAGCCATCGCTGCTGGAATTTAAATTAATATTTATATTTAAGTTACAGGTACAAGATGCGTTGCATAATGATCAAATAAGTATCAAATAGGAATTCTAACCCCCAGTTCCTCATCTGTGTGTTCAAAAGTGGTAACTATGTTTCAGCAAGTATCATGAGATACTCATTACTTTCAAAGCGGTTATTGACACCTTCTCACTTATATATTTTTTACTTGTATAATGATTCTGCCAATAGTATGGTTATAGAATGTGGTTTAAAAGGAACAGGTTTATAAAAAAATGTTTATTCACAATGCTCCGATGGAGCAACATGGTGACCATTTTACCAAGCTAATCAATTTTAGTAATCCTACACTATTACAGTACTTTCTTCACATCCACTCTTAAAGGGCATTAAAACTATCTTAGCTGAACATTGCATTAGGATTCATGTCCTGCAATGATCCTGCCTTTGCTTGCGATGCAAATTCCTAGGCTTATGCTAATGGACGCGTTCATGGTATGGTTAATATCAGGCGAAAGTTTGGGGGTTCCTTCACGTTTGTTTTGTTCCCTGGTCTGGTGGATCATGACATAAAGAGACAGGGAGAAGCGAAGAGGTCCTCTTATTCCGCTCCCCTTGCCGCGATTATGTATGCAAGAAATGTCGCGTTAATACTCGGGACAACTGCAATGGTCTCCCCACCATTCTCGCTCGCACCACTGCTGCTGCCACCGTTACCACGACGCACTCCAAAGGGATAAAGCTCAGAAATCCCCATAGAATAACCCTGTTGAACAGCAAGAGGATGGACAAGGTAGGGTTTCACTGGATAAGGAGAGCAGAAGCCACCTATAAGAAGTAACATTTCATTCACTTTTCCAATTTCATCCGTCACACTAACCTAGGTAAAATAGTCAATATGGAATTATAGGAACGGCTGCATGCAAATGAAGTGCATTCATATTAAAATACACTAGGATGCAGATAAAATATGATTAGCAGTCACGTTTGTAGAAAATTACAGCATTCGTCGTTTTGTTTAGCTATGCAATGTGTCAGAAATAACTTGAAACCAAGACTGAGATGCGCAAAAAGTCAAATGCCCTCTATGGCCCTTATTTACAACGATATTTGAAATCCAATTTGAATAAAAGTGACCTATTAAAGCTGCAATTTATAATTCATCATACCTAAAAAACGTTGCTAATAAAGAGCTTTCATTGAATTTGGTATTAGTTGCAAAACCCCAAAGTCATTTCATTATTTTATGGTATCAACAAGTGTAAATAGTAAAATAAAGGTAAGGCCGTGGAAGAGCTCAGGCGTGTTTTGATTCTTCTAGTTGATTTCGGTATTTCTACATTGATTTATTCGCTATTCCGTCAGTTTTGTCAAGATTTTGGAGCAAAAATAGTACCTGGAATGTTCCTTAAGGAAGAATAAACACCTGCTAGGTAAAGGCTTCGACAGCATATCGACATTTGAAAAACCGATAATTCATTGATGAAAAAGATTGCAAAACAGACAAGACCACAGGGACCTATTCAGCTAGCCCCTACCAGTTGTCCCCACAATCGTGCTCAGACACGTTACACTTCTAATTGGCTGCACCTTCAACCAATCCGCAGACAGCTCTATCCCCTTGCGGACAGATACAAGATAAGCTTTGATTGGTTGTCCGAATCAAACCCTGTCTACTATTTAACCGCGAGAATGAATCTGTTTGGATCATATGCTGTAAGCCGACTCGAAAACTGGTAGGTGTGGTCTCCCGTTATGTTGTAGTATACGAATTTGTCTATTAATCTTTCATGATTTGTGTTTAGATATAGTAAAATGCAGATCCCTCCAGTTAAATTTGATGTGGAAACTATTATTAAGGCACAGGCAGTTTCAAACGTGGTTGGTGGTGACGAAAATATGTCGATCTCTCAGAATAACATTCCCGTTATTAATCTACCCATACAAAACGGTGTGATTCCTGGACATCGGTCAGCAGAATCATTTTCCGACTTTTCCCTTTTACGGAAAACAGAAATCTTCAACTTTTTTTCCAATTTGCTTGGAAATTCCCTTCGTCTTTCCCCATGCAAACCACCTGCTCAGGAGGAAAAACTTGAAGATATGTTAAGTTCTTCCATTCGACGAGCAATTTCGGAATCTCTCTCTATGGGAAATTCAGTAAATGTGAGTATACGCGGGAGTCTTACTATTTCGTCTGAAGGCCGAAAACCTATGACAGTCACTTTCACTGACGGAGCTGTTCGTTTCACAACGAAGACAACCGCCACTGTGACCCCTTCGAAAAGAAAAGCCTATCATCCGGTGAAGTACACTGGATCAACACCTTCATCTAATTCCTCCTGTTCTTCCACAGTGAATCCACCACACCTCTCTGGCTGCACTACGCCGTCAATTTCAGAGCCATGCGCCCTCGACCTCTCAAAAGGCTTTTCATCTGTTCCCTCTGCTCAGGTTACTCCATTAAAGTTAAAACAAACACCCGTGGCCCAAAGTTCTCCGTTCAACTCGATGGCGTTGCTACAGCCAGGTAACCTTGTCAATCTTTATCAAACACAGCAGAATGTATTCGGATCTGCACCTACAATGCTGTCCACTGCAGATCAAGATTCCAGTGAAATAGTTTCAGGGCCCGCAAAGAGGAGGCGCAGTGGTTCCACCAACGTGCGAAAGTCAAACTCAACGCGTCAATTTGCATGCAATCAGTGCGAAAATGTGTTTGGCTCACTCCAAGACCTTGAGGAACACACTACAAGCATACACGGTGCCTATCGTTGCCATATTTGCAGTGCCAAGTTCACCCAGCGATCAAATTTGCAGCGGCATGCCTTAAAACACGTGGGCTTTAAGCCCTTCGAATGTGGTCTTTGCGAAAGAGCGTACTTTCGTAAAGATCACCTCATGCGTCACATGGAAACAACTCATCCGGGGGTTCCAGCACGTGCGAACATCCATGTGCGACTAACATCTTCAGAAAGCCTTGACTACCTCAGTCGCTTCGTTGGGACTGGAAATAGCGTAGAGGATGTAAAACAGGCGAACGATGCCGATGATAAGGAAACTAGGGACCAACAGTGTCTAATTATAAAAGCAAATTCAGGACCCGTGGTTGATGGAACTCGGTCTATTGGGTCTGAGGACACAACGAAATCGCCAGAGTCCTTTCCGGTGGAGTCTAATCTCATGGGGCTAGAGGAGGCTATCTTGTCCACGACTACACCCTGTCCTGACGCGTAGATTAAATATTTGTTAGTGTGTATTTCTATTCCCTGAACGTTCAAAATGTACAGTTCTTTTTTACTGTTTTATATCCTTTGCATACTGTAGCAACTATAAGTGTTGAGTTTCTCTAACCATTTTTTTAAATTAAATAAATGGGATGGGACGAGGTTAAGGTGAGAAATGGTGTCCTAATCTCTAACTATCATGTTACGTCGTTGTGTTTGTTTTTTTCGTCCACCTTGGATGTGTTCGTATCTGGGCCCTGCTCAAGTTACAGAGATTCGCGTTCTCTCCCTGTAAAGGAGTTTTTGCCTGAGTGATGGCCGTTGCTGTGCAAACGGCGTTATCCCTCCACTACACACAGAAACTGATATTTCCTAGTTTTCCTGGAAGCAGGCCAGTGCCACGTAATTGATGGAGAAATGGTAGTGGTCTGGGAGAATCAGAGCAATGCTATGGAAATTCAAGACTGGCATCGAATAGTTGTGATTTCGAATGATGAAATACTTGGATGATTACTACACGTATGATCGAGTTCAGTTTGATCCTGTTGCTGTCTTGGTTGAGTGAATGTCTGTCTGGAATACGATTTCTCTACCAAATGGTTTGTTTTCGTAAATACCAATCCAGTGGCTTGAGGTCGATCCTCCTTATGACTAGTCATAAGGAAAAGTGAACGGTTCTAGGTCCTGTGACGATGCTAACTAAACCTCCGATTCAAATCATCATACCTAATGCAATACATGTTTTTTCACTGATCTCACCAGTGTTGTGACAACCATGGTAGTCCGAGCTATTTTTTGAACTATGGATGGGAATAAGCTGCGAAACACGTGCTTCTCAATTTGCCTTCGTTAGTTGCATATATAATGCCAATTATTCGGGCATTTGAAAGTTGGGCAAGTTATGGTTGATCAACTAAAACTTTTCACCTAGCGAAACCTAATTTGCCTTTACTTGACTATATTTCGGCATGTTTTCTAATGTTGAAAGTCCGCACAATAGCATTTTCATTTGGGAATAATTGGGACCCAATTCTGCACTAGCATGTATTGCAATTCAAGTGTTAGCTCGTACACTTTTTCATTCGTACTCCTATGGGAATATCTGTCAAAATCACTAAGCTTAAAGATGGCTAAATCAAAAGTTGCAGTAGTGCCCTGGGGGTTCCGTGCTAATCCCTTAAGTCCGCTTAGGTCACCATATGGCGATTAGCACAAAATCGTATGTACGGACGTCAGTAGGACTTTAAAAACCGCGTAAATCACTCCCCGATGAGCAGTGGGCGTGACAATTTCAGCCCAAACTTCTCCCTCCCCGATAAGGTCATTGCATCCTCTGTCACGCACAGGTTAACGAATGACTGCAATGGGATAGGAATAGGATCTCTTTCTATGGAACTTTTCACCGGTTAAGCTTGTGAGTAGGAGACTGTGCCTATTATGCCTTTGACCGAAAAGTTCTGATAAGGATCTGCATATAATAAATATTATCAGTTTCCATATTTTTGGATTAATGCTGTCAAATCTTCAAAACTGCCTAGTTTGAGCCGGCCTTCTCTAGCCTAAAATCTCTATTGCACATTTAGTGAAACTGAAGTATACATTACACTATGCTGGATTTTTAATCGCTAGTTTAGTTTTGGGATAAATCAGGTTAATTTTTCCACAAAAAGTATAATTCCCCTCTGAACTCAAAATTTGGCACCACCAAAGTATAGCCGTCGTGCCGGCTGGGCTGGGACGGGGGTGACCGGGCTGGTGGCGGTGCTCATGGTCGTACAATGGACTGCCTTCAGACTCAAAGCCCCGTGTCCTGTCGCCATACTGGTGACCTGATTCTGTTTGTAGTGTCGCTTTTTTGAATGTTTCTGGGACGTTTAGGCTTATTCCTTGATCATACTCGCATCTGGCATCACGGATGAGAGCATTTACAAAGTCTACCCTCAATGATCAAGCTGCCTTGTCGAAAGTAAAGAAATTTATTACTACGCATTCCAGCGAAATGTTTATACTGTCCATTTATACTTAAGGGTCTGTTGGTTATTTGTTTCGCATAATGTAATATAGTATTTTTTGGCGGTGATAATGAAGTAGATTAGACTTTTATCAGTTTCAACTACTTACAAGTGCATCATTGTGACCCATAATGTTACCTCGTCTTCAAAGAAGGAAGTTAATAAGTGTTTTTAATTTGACCATTTGGCTTCTTATTCCAAAATAAAGTACTCGAATGAAGTTCCAGGCAATATGTCTGCATGAGGTTCAAATATTATTTCGATTTCTAGGATTATAACTGCCCTACTTCATCACTTAATTCAGCACCAACCATTACATTGTGAATATGGCATTATAAAAAGTAATCTCCACAAATTAGTCAAATTGGTAACAAAATAATGCTTCTACTAAACCAAAGGTATGTAAGGCGAACTGGTTTTGCGGCAAAATTACATCTAACAAATCCTCCACCCACTCTTCCGGTTAAACATGCATGACCCCAAGCTTTACAAAATGGAAATATCAACACCGTGCCACATTCAGTGGTAAACATTTGGTGTATTTATTGTACAAAGTGCCACGGAGGTGTTTGTGAAGACGGCTACACCATATCTTTATTGGTCCCTCCATTTTTGATTTAAAAGATATTTAGTACCAGTAAAAATTGCCGTTGCAGACATTGAACCCTCAAGGAACACGTTTCAATTGCTTAACACTCGCTTGCCATTGTTTCCAAAAGAATTCGCAAATATACGACAGGCTTTGTAAGCTATTTATCTAGTTATTTGGGCCATTCTTACAAGGCTCTGTATATAATCCGCCGCAGTGCATTGCGTTGTAAAAGCATTATCCAAAGCCTATTAACTCAAACCTAGTGCTGGGAGACTTTAATAATGCAGTGTCAGAGTACTCCCTAATTACGTTGTACTGTGCGGCGGTTAGGAAGAAGATCATTTATTAAAGAACGGTAGAGGCGGAAAGTCCCAGGTATGGGTGGAAAACTTCGACATTAAGGGAACCGAAACCATGGGTATTGAAGGGTCCGCGTAGTTAAATGCACAAATGTAATAAGTATCGTTTTGTGGCATAGCAACCACCCTTTTTAGTCATCGTTCTAAGTACCCCATCGGTCACTCATCTACTGAACCGTCAATACCTTAAAAAGCACCCACTAATCGGTAATGCGGTTTAGTCATTTGGTTTTCCTTTGGGGCTAGAGGACAGAAAGCCGATTTCCATGTCACTGCTACATCTCATTGATTTCGATGGATCTAGTGTTTCGTTTTTGTCTACGACTTTGTGGAGTCCTCTGGCTCTGTATCTCTCAAAGCCGGAAAATGCTCCGAATCGAGTGTCATTCACATGCATAAAATTAGAGCTATCTAATGAAAATCGCGTCTTAAAGCTGGTATTTTTACATCAATTCCTCCTTGTCACTTTAATGCAACAGAACAGTTAGTTTGAACCATATTCATATGCTAGGAATATGAAGAAGGAGACATTATTGGCCCGGATAATACACGTATCTTCAGGAGGATTTTGTAGCAACTGCATGATTAAGGTTACCAAATTGCTTAGGTCTGACATTATTTCATTTATTTGTTGCAAACTGGATTGATTGTGGCCTCCGCAGAGTGTTATTCTGTAGCGTGTAGGCTTGTTTCCCAGTCATCGATTTGGTTTATCATCCATTTGAGTAGGATAGCCTTACTCACTACCGCTATCAATATATCGTCCAAATCAACCTTCAAGACGTAATTGGGCATGCCAGTAGCGATGGAAGGTCACGTGTATGGACAGAAACTCGGTCACCAAAACATAAACCGAAATTACAAATACTGAAGAACCTAGATAAGTAAATGTACAATAAAAAAAAACTTTATTCGATTAAACGGAACTTTGATAACACCTGTGTACATTTCAACTGAAACATGAACAATTGTGTAAAGTGGTAAATCTATGGCACAATAAAGTGGAGTTAAGTAATCCAACTAAAAAGTTAATTTCAATAAATAGTATCACTTTTTGAGCAATGGTGAAAGAGGGTGTAGGAAAGATGGACCTTAGTCGCACTGCACCGAATGTCACATTCACGGTCTTAATTTATCTAAAAGAGAGGAGAATAAGGGTAGTGTATCATCTTGACCTATTTGCGAAATGCGTGAGCTAGAGTCTTCAGCACCTGTTGGGATCGTTTTCGGAAGGGGGAGGGCGCCGGAGCGAGAGAGAGGAATTGGAGTCGCACAAGGAGAGGAGAACAGAGAAGAATGGGGGGTGGGTGGCGAGACAGGTGAGAGCACCTGTAGACATGGGGTGGTGGTTTGAGTTCTGCATTGTTTCCTCCACACAAGATGGACGATTGGGGTCACCTTTCCTCCCCCTCTTTCCTTGGCTCCGGAGTCCATGCTGATAGAAGGGTGGTCGGGCAGGTATGTGCATGTGAGGGTACGCTTTTGCTTTAGCTTGCATGTGCCTGCGTAAATATATTAACCGAAATAGTAAATAACTCCAAACAGCTGTATAGATTATGTTAAAATACTAGGCTTTTAGTTAATGTTGCCAGTATCTGCTATTTCGTGAAGGGTACTCAGATAAGTAGCTATCACCTCTCTAAACAGGGACATTGATGGGCATATTTATAACTTGGATAGTAAATTATATTATTCATGAGGCTTTCGAAATTTAAATCATCCTCATATTTGTCACTGGCAGAAATCACAATTAGGTGTGCTTAAATAAAGTTGTAGGATTCGGCTACATTGGTGAGTCTTCCTGTAGGAAATTCTATTCATAATTCTAACTCGTTTCCCACCACTTGTTTTGTTTCCATTGCCTCAAATCATCACAATTTGCCGCCGAGTAGAAAGCCAATGGCTTTCTTCAAAAAGGTGCCTTATGTGTACAGATGTGATATCTAATATTCGATTGAAATGAGGTCTTTTATTTACTTAATTTTCACGAATTAATCATCTGTAGCGAGTTCTATAGTCGCCTTTACAGCTGTAGATTGAATATACACTGAGTCAACCTTTTTTCGTCAACCAACTCCAGAAACTTTGACTTGATTTCCCTGGTATGGAACATGCTCCAGCACTTTGTGCATCGACATTCTCAAGGACCCAGGTGAATATAAACATTTTCATTTGATTGCAATCACCAGACAAAGATACATCTACTCTTTTACCTACTAGCAGTAGAGAGGGCCCAAGTGACATAGTGGTTAATGTAAGCCCCTTAAGAGGCAATTCGCGATCATAAACTCACAATCACTGACGTGTGGGCCACTACGTTAACGTGCCTTGGTAACCGTGTCACATGTAGAAACGCAATTAACGCCCACCTCCCCTCTGCCTTGACTTCCATGGGATGCAACTATTTCATGGCATAATTATGCAGGCGCCTGGAAATAGTTTTCAATGCCGTAGCACAGGGTCTGTTGAGCAGCTGAGTTGGGAGGCCGGCCTGACGGTACGCGGTCATGCGGGATAGCAGAGCGTGCATGCACGCGTGCGTACGTGCTTGCATGTACGTGCATGCACTTGAGCACCAAAGGAAATCGATACTCCCGGAGCGAGATCGTACTGAACTTGCGGGAGTGCACCGCGGGCCACCACACCCTGGGGCAGAGAGCACCAACGCCGCTAGGTCGAGAACTTTCGCCCCCAGTGCATTCACTTATTACTGGTGGAAGAGAGGAGAATCCAAAAGGGTGATACTGAAGTAAATTAAACAGCCCGGTACAGCTAGTCGCCAGCGCCCACGAGTTGCTGCAGTAGTGTTGAAAACTTCTGGCCGTGTTTACGCACGGAGACACATTCAAGTGTTTTTCTCATGCCTCTGAAATCAGCGAAGGGAATATGGGTGATACTGTCGCCAGCCACTACAAGCGTCGCTACCAGGTCTAGTGCTCGCACGCGTGTGTTCGCTCACTGTATGTTAGTGGGTGTCTGTTCGCGTGCGGAAAGCGCGCACACACACACCGGGACGCAATCACAAGCACGGCAGCGGTGTTTACGTATGCACCGGTTCGCAAATGTGTGTGTGTGTGGGGTGAAGGGCCCTACAACTATACCGTCTGAATGACCCACGCGTTGTCATCAGCCCCAGTGCCCTTTGAATAAGCATCGTGAAATTATCACTGTGGTATGCATTGGCAGTTCAAAAAATGAACGTGAGAAAAGCCAAGTAAATGGTTATTTTGGAATAAGTGGTTTTTGTTAACCCGTTGTGTGGCATCTACCCTCATCAGGTGGATGTTTAACTGTGGATTGACCATCTGCCCCCCCCCCCCCCTTTATCTAAGACTTCACAAATTCGGATAAGGAGTCGAGACTTTTCACCACCTCGCTTTAAATTAGGGGTAATCCGCATTGCCCACTCATTCATGAATCAATAAGAGTTCTACAACAGTGGCTTCCTGAACACAAATAAAAGAATTTTCATTTAATATAGATTGAATGTATAGATTAGCACACTACATGCTTACAATAAATTTTGCCCTGGCAATAATAACTCCTCTTTACTTTTCATTGTATAAAATGTGACAACTTTCATTCAGGGGAAAAAATGTCAGTGGATCATATACATTGTCATTCTTCATCTTTCATCCAGATACTTTGCAACCCCAACTCTACATCTTCTACACTAACCTGATTCCAAGCCGCGTGGAGCTTTCCTATGCGTCCAAGGCAAGTTTGAGCCTGTGATTATCTTGCACACAGTAGCAACAATGCGCGACAGGCATATTGAAGCGTGAATAGCATATTTTAACATTGACAAAGGGCATTGTAATTAGAAGGGGAGCACTGAGGTCAGCACGCCTGTGATGACAACGGCACAACAGAACACAAAATGCCTGACGCCGCTCTCGCAATAGGCTTTTATTTGGCTCAGTTGAGTTGGGGTCATCCGCGACAGGTGTCACGCCAACCATGTAAGGTTGCCTGTTCCCAGCCCGCATGCCCCTATGGGAGAGGGTGTGACGAGGTCAGATAGTGGAATTGTTTCTAACGCACGACCATCAAAAGAGGCGCCACAATTAGTACACATGTGATGCTCAACCCTCTCCATTGCAATCGCAAATACCGAAGTCGACTGCTTGGAGTTTGTAAAAGTGCGTCAATGAATGGCAAAGCTGTAAAAATTCTATTCACATTAAGGAGATGGCCGAGTAAGACATGCCTTGTCTTCATCAAAGCTGGTGGCAAAATGAAAGTTATTTTCGGTAGCTTGCCAAACCTACTCTGTGCAGCTATTGCTCACCATCTAATGACACATAAGCGGCCTCTTAATTTCCTGTTATAACCTTAATGGAAAGACAGCATGTCAAAGGAAAAGTGAAGGTACGGAGTCGCCCTACGTACGGAACCGATCCTAGCTCTAAGCCACATTGCACGGAGCAATCAATGCTTTGTTATGCGGCTAAAAAGTACATCTCATCGGCTTTTAGACTTTGGGAATGGAAATGGTAGTTTACAGACTGAATGCGCAAGTAAATCAGCAGTGAAATGAGTTTCGTAAGGTCTCGAACTCCCACAAAGTAAATGAAATGAGGCGGGGCAGAATTGTTTGGGGGGTTTTTGGGTGAGAAAGATGCACTCGCAATCTTACCCATGACTGACCAACTTGACAATCCAAATGGAAAATGGACACAAACATGAACAAACCTGCCACAAAGATGTATTTTTAAAGCGAAAGTGTTGGAGAGAGCCCAATCCGGGAGCGATTTAGGGGAAAAGGGGCGTTAAGTAGACGCTAGCGCGAAGATGGAGGTCTAGACATAATTGAGAGCCAAATGCTGGTACTGATAGTTGCTAGGTTGATGACATTATCTAAAGGGAGCAGTGCGTGGATCTTTTACGTGTCCTAAATTTATATTTTCAGGAAAACACAACTCCCCTCGCTTTGCTCTAACTTACGCGCTGTGTTTACATTGAAATCCACAATTGACAAATAACACTGCGCTTAACCATGTAAAGCAATTTTATCAACGCTTTAAGCTTCATTTGGATGATTTGGATACTTACAACTTCCAAACCCGTAAGAGCGAATTTTTAAAATCTGTGGGTGCAGGAGTCCTGGACAAAGTGCCTCAATGAAAAGATATTCAGGCTCTTCTAGTGGTGCATTTCGAGCTGGAGATCATATCCTGTACTTTTTGAATGCAAGCTAACTAAGGAAATACCATCAAAGCGGGAATTTGCACAACTTTCAACCGCAAGAGGTGAATAAATTTAGCTCAGTTTATAAAGTTGCAGAAAATATCAGTCAGTGGGTTAAATAGATAAAGCAAAGAAATCTTCGTAAACTTTTCTCCAAATCATTTCTAAGATCTGAAGCTTGGGCTTCAAATTCACAAAGTGGAAATTAAGACGGATACGAAGCTTAATGAGCGAAGAGCATAAACAGTCCAACTATTTAGTTTTTGATAACCCATAAGAGGAAACCTAAACAAATAAATCCTTTTTGATATTTATGGAACACTTTCAATTATCCCAGAGTTGTCTACCTGCTACAATAAATTTTTAAAGTTCTATGATTTGATCGCACATATTTAGTGCGATCCGAACAAATGGCGATTCCACTTTGTATAAACATAAATTTCCTGTAATCTGCATCCCCAAAAGTTTTGGGTTAATCCGAAGGCTAGGTATTAATAGGGGCTGAGAGTGCCCCTTTTCTCAGCGTTTGTTTCCACCCCCGCTTTTAATAGAATAGCTACCACCACTTCCACCACTGCTATCACTTTAACAGCCCTCCAACCGTGCCGTCTCCACAACGGTTATATCGCAGTTGAGGTTGAGGTAGATGTAAATGCAGTTTAAGCGGGCAATTTGGACGCCCACGCAAATGTTGGACAAATACGGCTCCCAGTCGTGCAACTAAGGTGGAATCGACTTGCCAGCTGTTTAAGTATGTCACGCACGTGGATGACTTCTAGCTTCAGTTAGGCCAAGACCTAGGACAACACGTTTAGTATTTTGTTTTCAACGTAGGTTCTTCATCATGTGGCTGCTCCACGTATCCTCATCTCCTGAAATCATATAGTAGAGTTGAAGATCACAATGGGTCAAGTGATAATCCATTCTGCATCGTAAAATTGGGAGTCAATGCTTTTTTAAGTGGAATGTCTTTGAATGATATTTTTATGGTGAAAAGCTGTATTGGGATGGTAAAAGAACATAATGATTGGAAATGCACACTTCTGCACTGCCTCGCGGTCAGCGTTAAGGGGGAGAAGTAAGGCAAATCATAGAGGCCAGTAAGTACACGTACGGATGGGGGTGTGAAAGCGAGCTCCAGTGGGCCGATCGTGCCAACCCTTCATGGTGCGGGGATTTGAAGCTACCTCCGAAGGTGTAGCATGATGCAAGGCCAATAGGTTTTAGACACTAGGGCGAAATTTAACGAAGGCTATGCTACAAACCAGCATTCTGGGAAAACGACCTCCAATATTGTATTCAACACGCAACCAACGCCATGATCTGAAACACAACTGTGAAGCGAGGTAATCACATAGACGTTCTGAGATGTGGGAAGCTAACCCACTGATACCTCTGAAATCCAATGTTGCATTACATTGATTTCATACTAGATATACAAGTCTATGTATGGCATAAAAGTAAGTAATTTTGCGTCATTTCGGTAGTTGGGTTGAGACGGGGTGACTTCATATTTCGCCTAGGGACGAATGTGACAAAACCTGACAGTGAAATTATGGAATAACTATGATGTCGAAATAACCTCAAAATAAAGCTACCCCCTCTCCTTTACACTCATCCAATCCCGCACAAGCTGGGAGACTTGACTAGGTGGAGAGATAAGTCTATTCGTCCCTCTTTCAAAATATCGCAAAAATGTGAATAGAATAGATCTGTTACATAAGAACATCAAAGCGATTCGAACACTGCACAAACTTAGGAATGTGTGCCTGTTGTAGGTAGGACTAATGAGCTACTTTACAAAAACAAGTCATAATGCCCAGGTAACTTCTCTAAAGTCTGGAGGCGGGGTGAAAATGCAATTTAACTGTAGCTTAGATCACTTTTGTTCCAAATGTCCTACCTTTGTTTAAACAAGTGCATGAGTTTGTTTAAATTTTAACCAATCACTAATAAAATCGCTTAATTAGTCATTTCACAATAGCAATAACCGGATTTTGAACTTTCCCATGAAAAAGTTATCTGAATCTTGGCTTCCTAGCTATACAATAAGCTTCAAAAGGACACGACTTGGTAAATTTGTTATCTACAGTCTACTTGACAATATTACCAACATCCAAAGGAAAAAAATTCTAGCACAACTGACAATGTGGAAACGTGGAATAATAGAAAATGCTACGAGCATTTACGGTTTCTTCCCCATTTGTCAAATTTTTATATACGAACACGGTGTTCTACAAAAATCGGAGGTAGCAAATACAAAACCTTCCAATCGGTCGGGAGGTACCAAACTGTTGCTTGCATAGTGCGTGAAAACCCTCCTCTAACAAAGACCAAAAATTAGACGAATTAATACAGTGTGCCTCCAAGACGCGGCAGCGGGTAAAGGGGAGCACAAAGTGCGACTTGCAAGAGGACCCATGCAAGCTAAAACATGAAACTGGCCTCTTTTGTGAGTACCCCTTGAGACGCCATGGTGCAGCAGCCTGTGCATGGGTGCGTCAGCAAGCGTGCAATCCCAATACAAAGACCTACGCCTCTCCCCTCTCTAGTGGACCCGACCCAGGTGGTTTGTGCGTCCGCTGTTGCCCCACCCACTCACCAGTACTCACAGGTGTGTGTATGTGTGTGCAGGGGGAGAGGGCTAAGGTGGCTGGGATGGGAGTAGGGAGAAGAGTAGTATGAGCTTTTGTGATGATGTGCGTGGGGGAAGAGGGCTCACAAACGCTCTGGACGTGTTCGATCCTGCCCTGGGGGGTCTCACACCCTAGTAAGGGGGAGGCGAAAGAGGTGAAGGCGAAGCGCTTGGGTTGGGAGAACAGCTCCTGCATAAGCCATGGGGCGGTGGGGGCAGAGCAGGTGGTTTGGACTTACCCCGGAGAGGAGTTTGACAACCCTCCATGAGACGCATGCGCATGTGTGCGTACTAGAGAGAACGAAGTGGGAAATAAGGGGGGGTGTCGGATTGCGGATAGGAATCAAGCTTCTGGAATGCAATGAAAACAAGGCGCTCTATTTTCATTCCGAAGCAGGAACTTTAACAATAAAATAATGTGATCAGTGATGAAACTGAGACGGCCACTTTTATGTGCTTTTGCTCTTCTTATCTTCTCTTTTATTTATACTGTTTATCTTACTTTTGCCTTCATTATCGAATAGTCCTCGCATCGACTCTGTTGGAATTCTGCAGAACTTACCTGCCCACCTAACTGTAAGTCTTTTGCTTATCTTTCTGTCATTAATGCATTATTAGAACTACGACTAAACGGGGCCGAATGGACCGACTTGTTAGCTAATTCTGTTTCCTCATCGTCGTGCGTCACTACCCTGAGCCCCAAAAACCTTGTGAGTGGTAGTACAGTAGCATAATATAACGCAAACAAGTCTAAGCCCTTGAACGGGATCTACTTGTTCCGTCATTGCTGAAATTTTATTTCAGACCGAGGGTTGATGTCATATGCACTTTTGATTCACTTCTTTGAAGAACATTAACAAAGGCACCTATGAAAGGAGGAATCAATTGTCAAGCCAACTGCTCTATGCACACGCAATTGAATGCTATTTAATGAAAAGCTTAGGCGGTGGAAGTACTTATTCAGATGAATTACATTAACATTCCTTAGTGTAAATGTACCTCAGACAACCATATCTCAGTATTTTAAAATATGCTACCTATCGAAATCGGCTGCATTTGGTGCCAAAAAACGTTCAAATAGTCTCGAACGAGCAAAACCCATTACTTTTTCCAAGAAGCTTTGTGGACGATACACCTAAAAAGGAAAAGAGATTTTTTAAATCAGGGTTTAATCTTTTAAAAGTTAACATACGTTATTCACATAATGTCCCAAATTCATCCCTTGTGGCACTGCTGACCCCAAGAGACGGATGAACTTGCGTGGAGCAAAATACTTTTAAAGATCTGAAAATCGATGGCTGACGTGAAGAGCGTCTCGGAAAGGGTAGTGTCTGGGACGGATGTGGTGGAGGAGAGAGGAAGAGAGGGAAGAGAAGAAAGAGGGAATTCTGGTGAAGGTGGTCGTTTTCGAGGATGAAACGGCAGTCAACTACAACGAGCCGGTGCGTCGATGGCTCTGCTGCTACCTCTTCCACCGGCGAAGGCAGCGCGGCGAAAGGAGTGCACTAGAGACAATCGCCCATCAGGAAACAGAGACCGCCGCGAACCCCTCACTGCAATCGAAGGCACACAAATTCGCCCAGCTCCTCTACTTCCAGGATGACATAGCCGTAGAGAGGCGAAAACTTGAGGCTGATCGAAAGGCTTTAGAGTTGGAGCGTCAGATCATCCCACTCAGATTCCGCATGTACAACTGGGGCAAACCCGCACCGCCGGCATTCACGGAGCGAGTCCTGCGACAAGAGTCCAGAATTGGACTATACACCACTTTTGGGAAATATATAAACCCCGATGTTACCACATACATAAATTGAAATTCGTTATAGCCATAGCAGGTTGTGGATCAATGACAAACTGGTATGAATTTGTTGGGCAGCAGCGGTTGTGGCATTCACGTGGATTTGAACAGTCTACTTATTAAATTACAGTAAAACCTCCAAAGGAACACTACCTAGCATGGCAATGTTCTGCAACAAATAAATATGCGGTACTAGCACCAATTGACACGACAAACTTTTAATTAAACATGAAGTTATTGACTCGACCCTCGACCCAGTAGCGATCTTTCAAGGACTACCAGCTTTTAAATTTAGTGTAACAATATCTCTGCCCTAATTATACGGATTGAGAAATTAAGCAATGTCTTAGAAACCTTTAAGGTTGGTGGCTAAACTTTCAGTCGTCTTCACGACTGTTTTCTAACAGGTCATAGAGCCTTTTGTGTCAAAATGAAGACACGGGAAGGTGTCAACGTGCTCTTAGGCATGGGTTTACAGAAGAGATAAATTCAATGTGAGCTTGTGCTGTTACGATGGAAGAACTCGTGGAGCTGGTGGTGGAGGAGGTCGAGTTGAGGGGGGGAGAGACTGATGGTGTCGGACATGAGGGCATCCTGGGCCCACGGGGGCAGCAGGAGGCGTAGACGCCGACTGGTCGCGAAGCGCTGATCCACCAGGAAGACCACTGCATAGTCGTGCGCGTGGCGAATAGCCCTTCCAATGGCCTGATTCACCATCCGCATGCACACCGCCTCACAGAAGCGCCGACCACTCTCGCGTCCACCGAAGTGCCTCTCCAGGAAGTTAAGCTTCTCACGCATCTGAGAGATCAAAACAGCGCATACACATAACCATAAATTTATCAACCGTATCATTAAATATGGGCTCGCCAATTTAGAATCAAAGGTTTTTTTGATATGACTCAAATAGAAATGTGTAATCGACTAAAGGATGAGCCAACATTATTGACGGGCCAACTTTGCCACTTTAAAATTGACTTTTAATGCCTGTCGACAAAAACAAATTCTCGTGAAATCATAAAACAATATTTTTCAAAGCTTGCGGAGAACTGGGTGCTTTTCACGAAGAAGTGACCAAGGGTGTTAGTTGTGGGAAATGTAAGCCCAGCCCCATTAGTGACTCATGACATGCAGCGTTGCCGTAGAAAAGTTATGGTCGATTTTCATTGAATAATCATGGTTGCTTAGCCAAATTCTCACTTGTTATACGTACACACAGGGAAAGTGGGCTATAGAAATACACATTTTACCTGTCCTCAGATCGTACTTTAAAGGAGTCCATCGGATAAACCTATGTGACAAACGAACACATTCACTCTGCTTAAAGATATTTGCTTCTTTATTTCAAGGACAGCTATTTCACACATTCCTATGACATACTTTTTTTCCTCTTGGCCCATAACTCCGTACATGCTTTCAAAAATGCACCAACCCATACCTATCAACACTGATTTTATGTGTACTGCCACTGATCTAGCAATTTACTCATGTAAAAAGAATTAAAATTACGACCAACATTATTCAAGAAATGCAATTTATAAAGAGTTTGACTTTTAAAAAGCTATTCGTCACTTTTAGTGCATCAGTGAAAAGTTTTCCTTCATTGTAACATGCACAAAACTCCCACACTCATTAAGTTGATTAGAAGTGGAAATACTTAAGCACAATCTAAACATTAAAAATTATAATACCTATGACAACTTAAAGCAGCAGTAAATAAAGGCAGCAATTTCCAAGTTTGCCACGACCTCAATGTACTACCAATGCTTATAAGCCACGCCAACCTGCGCCATTATTACTCGAGCGGGTTTCCTTTTCAAGGGGACAAATGCGATAATGAGGCAGTGGAAACAGATGGATTAAATCTTCATCTGCTGCAGCATAACCCTATTCAGTGTAAGTCACGGAGTTATCGGATCCCATAGCGCCAGTGATTGTCAGGAGATGGGTTAGGGAGAAACGCACGAATGCGGAGTGGACGTTGGGATAAGGGAGGCCGACAATGATGACACCGCGGGCGAGGTCGTCGTTGAAGTTGATGCCCTCTGAGAGTTTACCGCCAATCACACAGACAATGCAGGCGCCGCGTTTGTTAAGCGCAGTGACCGCAGCCGTGTACGCCTGCATTACCTCAACCAGGGTTATCGCGGTGCGGGGTTCTCTAAACACCTCCTTCGTGGCCTGGAGGCGTGCAAGGAGACCCGTAGCCTTCCAATGGTTCCACACCATCGACAGGTAGTCGAAAGATTGGAAAAACACCGCGACACCGCCTACTCGAACAAAAAACTTTTTTCAAATGGTTGATGATTCAAGTTCATCGGTAATGGTCTTCTTACCTGGAATCATTTTGCAGACTTCAACTAGGAATTCACCACATTCATCAATTAACCGAGGGGTGTGTCGATTCTGAAAATTCATATATAATTATACTGTTACTAAAAGCGTTTCAGTAAAAGGAATGAAAGTATTTGAAACACGACCTTGAAAGTGAAATCCCACGGAATGTCATTGAACGACACAGAGGGAGTGTAAATGGCGAGTTGACGCTTTGCATCGATAACATGACCACAGGAGAAGAGTGTAACATCAGTTTCGACTTTTCCAGCTGGACGGAACACTTGGTCGATGAACTCATCAAATGGTTTCATAGTTCCACCAACGAGAATTACACTGCGCGCATCCTTAACTGCATCTGCGTGGGGAGTAAAAGAACATCAAGAAATGTGAGCCTCACAGTACATTCAGTGATTTTCTTACACTGATTAACTAGAGTAAAAGGATTTCTACTGGTTCACAAAAATAAGTGTGAGTTGTTTGAATCGCTGACGGTCTCGTCACATAAACTTAGCGAAGCTGAAATTGTAAGATCCTCCAATGAACGATGACATTACGTTCGTTCAGAGAGTATAAGATAGGATTTACTTATTCCTTATTCAAATGATGAAGAAGTGCTAGAATATCAGGTGGGGGAAGGGAATAAAAAGAGAGTTGAGCCACAATACACATAATTAAAGACATAATAAAGGTATTTGCTTGAATTAGTCGCAACGAACATCCAAATAAGAACAAAAATGAAAAATTAGCAAACATTTAATGCCAGCAAAAATATTAGTGTAAAATTTACTAAAGTAATTTCAGATTTGAACATAACGAATAAAGCCTACAAACAAAAAGCAGAAGCGACTTGTAACGAAACAACTTTTTGAAATTTTAACAAACTATCCAAGCTCTTTGGTTTTCGCGAATTCCAGGAACGATTTTTGTAGCGTGGCGATCCGTTACTGTTAGTTCTGTCAACAGTCCACCAGTCCCTCTGTACATTTGTGGTAAAGTTCTAAGCGGACTCATATTAGCTCAAAACGCCTTTGGAGTGGACTCAAGCGCTAGAGACTACTGGTTAGGGAAAATCAGCAGGAGAACAGCATTCCTATGCCAGTGCAAATCCACAATCAAAACGTCTCATTGTAAACGGGAAAAGAGGATCAGGAAGAGGGAGCACTCACCGTGTAGATATCGGCCAGGGTTGAGGATAACAAAGCGGATGAAGCCAGGCGTGAAACTACTGGTAGTGGAGGCAGGGGCAGCGGTGCCCCGAAGAGTGATGATAAGGCGTCCATCATTGTCACCCGCACGATCGCTGTTCACCATCGCCTCGAGGAGGCCCAACACCGCAAAAAGTCCCGCGCCCGCTGATTGCAAGTCCTCCGGAGTCTGCGACGCAGTTGCTGAAGCCGATGCGGTCGCGACTGTTTCCTGCATGCACAAAGAAACCCAGAAAACTAAAAAACCCAAATTATTGCTGAAGCGATTGCATTGGGTCATGGAGAATGGGACTAACTAAATATTGGAATTACTGTAACCTTTTGCAAATAGCAGCAACCTTGCTTGTTCGTTAATGACCATGAAAATTAATAAAACGGCTTTTGTTGTCATTCGTAGTGGAAGGACAACAGGATGGTTTCATGATCCCGAAAGTCGCGTTTTGCTCATGAGGCAATAGATATATTCAATGAGAGCGTTTAAAATTAGACTGGTGTAAACTCCTACTAAGTGGTGAAAAAAATTGGATTGCGGGTTATAAATAACTCAGTTATATTATGCCTCAGGTGGAGTTGATGAGTCCGTACGTAGGCTATAAAAAGTAAATTAGAAAAAAATGAGTAATGCCTAAGCTGTCAAGCTGCGAGTTCTTTGCCGTTCGATGTGATGATAAGTTAAAGATTTCACTCCAAAGAGTACCTTTGCAAAGGGCAAAGAAAACCACTGCCTTTCAAAGTCAAAGAGAACAGTCATAATCCCACAATAGCTGAAGAGCAGTGAAAAACCTACTATTAAATGTAAAAGTTGTTCACCTCTTATTTTCTTGCATCACAATGGCACGCTTCAGAAGGGTCAGGTGCATGTGAGCTTAAATGACCATGTAAAGCAACCCTGATCACAAGATCATCGCAAGAGATTGGAGTGACCTCAAGCTAGAAAGCACACCAGGTGCATGACCAATCGTTGTGTGCAAAATGAATTATTTCTTCCAATATGTGACTTCACAGTTCTGCTATTCCGTATTGTAATGATGGAGTCAAGTGCCAATTTACTCAGATAAATTAATTCAAGACCACCGTAGCGGTTGAAGTAAAATGTAGCTTCCACTGCTCCAGCGTTACTAAGCACACACACACATACGTAGGCAACCCCGCGAAGTAACACCAAAGACGGTGACAGCTATTCCACCAACTGCGGGTGTATGCACGCACCACCAAGATAGTAGGTGTAGCACGCCGGAATATGATGAGCACCATAAGCGTCTCCTTGCGCGCACACCTATCGTATGCCAAGATTACCACACACACACAAAGGCACAGGAGGGAGGTTCTATGACTTCGCTGCTTGCGCGTAGATGGTGCAGTCTCCGGGCTACTCATTTGGCCCTCAACATGAATGAGCGTCGTAGAAACAAATCAACCCCCTTGCCACCGCAACAAACATTATTTGAGATACTTTAGCCTCCTTTCAGGAGCCGTAAAGAATTTCATTTTCGTAAGGGATGAGCGAAGCAAGTTAGAAGAACCGCACCATGGTCTTGGTTGACCACGTATGATTGACAGGATTGTTGACAGAATATGCACAATGCCTAAGTTGAGTAAACAAGTTTTGCCCGCTAGTTGGGGTTGGCTGCTTATTAGAGCAAAACTTGTCTTTGAAACGTTCTTTAATAGCCAATTAACATCCTTGATTTTAGCGGAATAATAAGCCCTAAAACCTCCGTTTAGTTGGATGACACAAAGTGAAAAAAAAAAGCCCTTGGGGGAAGTGGGAGTTGAAATGGAGGAGTGGAGACATGGAATGATTCTAATTGGTGAAGACTGCCTGTCATCTGGAGACCACAGTGATAGTAAATAAGGAGAGCAGACTATCCAAGCTGTTCAAGTGGAGATTTTGATTGAAATAAGTAAAGATTTGCGGTTCTTGAGGATAAAGGTCTCTATTCATACATTTTGGTCAAGTCAAGATTGAATGCTCCAAAGTAAGAGACATGGGATTTGGCATTAAGTGGTGGAAAAACGCAGAAAATTCATGCAACCACATTTTACTTAATGCTACCTCAGAAATAACGGGACAACCTCCACATTTGACGGAGTGCCTTAAGTGGATCATTGCAATATGAAAGGACATAATACATAAGATATACGATACTTCGTAATCATAAACGATGTCCACTAAGTGGAAATCGTGAATGAGTACTCATTAATCGCTTGATATTCTTGAGTTAGCTAGAAGGCGTTTAAAGAATCTATGGAAAGGTCCATTGCTTAAGGATCATAATACACTTGGGGAAAGCACAGATTTAATGATCTTAACAAAAAAGGATACCGCAGGGGCTACGTATCACCTCAAAAATAAAAAGAACGTAGATACGAGCAGGATTTACTTATGTAATACCCACCTAGAGTGTGTGGAGAGGGAATTTGTCCTAGCCCCAAAGGTTAATTGAAGAAAACCGCCCAAGCCTGCCAGATGTAAAACTAAATTTTTACGTCCAAACATGTCAAGATCCAAGTGCAATCTCATACAAACCTGGCATTCACTGATGCGTGAATGCCTCAAAGGGTTGACTTTTGTATTGTGCATATTTATTACTGAGTCAAAAGTTAAGATAATACGAGGAGTAGATGAAAATAGAATACACTGCTCGCCTGCTGATCTTCCCCTGTTTTCGAGATCTTAGATGGCGGTGTCTGGAACGACTCCAAACGGTTTGGAAGACGCTTCATTTGCTTCAGACATTCAGAGAGACTAAGTCCAGTTCCCACTCGTTTCGCACAGTCGCTTTCCTCCTTCCTACCTCTGTCGCTCCTTTTTCTCCCACCGAACCACTTCCCGAACCCAACGATCTTGTGCACGCACCTGTCGCTTCGTAGGTAGTCCACGAGGTAGCTCAGATTGATATGATCTAGCCCTGCAGCGAAGAGGAAGTCTCCCAATGTGTAGACAATCTCACCAGTAGAATTGCAGTTTTCAGTTCCCGAGTCCCGTCCACAATGAGCACATAAACCACTGCTACGAGCTGCTTTGCCCTCTAGGAAGTTGGCGAAGAGCCTGACGACCAGTGCAAGCTGTCGCAGTCGCAGGGCGGAGAGGGGTGAGAGCCGGGAGTGGTAATAACCCAGGAAGGCGGCGACGAGGCGCTCGGTGGCGAGTAAATCGGCATATGAGGCAGTGGCAGAGAAGGCGGCAGCCACGGCCTCAAGCAGGTTGTGTGCCTCATCAAAAATGAGCACGTTGTTTTGCAGACAGAGGCCCACAGCCTCACGTAAGCTCGGCACCACTACCGACTGGTAGGGCGCTAGCACCAACTGGGCCAGGGGCAGGCCCCGCTTGTTGGCGTAGTAGGGACAGGCGCAAGCAGGCAGCTCCTCAATGTCAACCTGGTCCATCGCTCCGCGGATCCTCAATGCAGCCTTGATGGCTGAGACCCGAGCACCCACAAGATAGTCGGAGAGCACACCAACCTCGTTCCTGCAGCGAAATCTACAGCCCGGACTCTTTACCGCGAGGTCCAGGCAAGCCTCAGTAATGAGGGTCTGATCCTTCAGTCCATACACAGCCTTATTTACGCAGAGGTGTTGACGTGAAGCCAGAGTCACCATAGTGACCTGGTCCGAAAGACCCTTTAACTTGTTCAACTCCTCCACAACCTGAGCTAATTGCGAGTGCGTTCGAGTGCAGTAAATCACCTGAACCACGCGACATGTTACGTTTGTTGCCTCAACTACAGAGACAGCAGAAGTTTTGCTGGGGTCAGTGTCTGCAGTAGGTAGGAACGAGTCATCCTCTGATCTAGCCCACTCATTCAATGCTTCAAAAGGAGGAGGAAAGTTCTCTCGGGTGATATCAATGGATGATCGGACAAAATTTGATGATTTGAGTGATACTTTAACCTCGTTTGCATGTTTTATGAGTTTGGCGGCCTCCACTGAAGCCTTCTGGGTGGCTTCTAAAGGCTCCATCTCCTTGTTCACCCGAATTCGCAGGACCCGCCTACGGGAATGTGCCGCTACCCAGTCGGTCTCATCAACTGACTGACTGTCCTCTTTCTGTAGATAGTCACGGAGTTTGGCGAGATGGGCATTAACAGCCTTGTTGTGGTCGAGAAGCCAATGCAGAGAGGTGGTAAGGAGAGTGACTGATTTACCTGTTCCTGTAGGACTCTCAATGATACTACACTTCGAAGAGGCGAGTGAAGCATAGAGAAAGCGCATTAAGCTATTCTGTTGTGGATAAAGCGTAGAATAGGGGAAACCGGGAAATTCTGTCCTCGTCAAAGTTTCAAAAGAGGGTACCTCACCATATTCTGTGGACTGAGTCTGATGAGGGAGTGAAAGTCCAGTTTCCTCGTCAAACGCAAGGGTTGCAATGAGCCGATCACCCTCGGGATCGTTTTCGAAATCATCCATATGGGCTTGAAATAGGAATAGGAAATATCCTAAGCATTTACAGAGGCAGAATTGGACAATGTTCCCTTAAAAGTTCAAAGGACTCACAATTATAAATATACCAATAAATGATTCAATAGCTGAACCGTATATTGAGAACGAGGCAGAGGAATAGAGCACGGGACAGTGAGGAGTTGCAAGGTTGAAGCGTAGAATTTGTAAATTCTACTCAACGAAACCTTAAAGTTCAAGCTGACGATCAAGCTAGAACTACTTTTTGATTGAATTCATGGCAAAAATCCATCGCATACTGAATCCCTAAACCAGTAAGTGAGAATTTATGCGTTTAGTCCAAGAAAGCGACTGAAAACAGAATTGTTTTGCGACATTAAATAGAGTTTTCAACACAGGCATCCACTGGTAAATTAAGTCAAAATTTCCGCACAAGAACCAAAGTGGCATATTTCTAAAGGAAGCAACACAAATTTAAACCGCATCTACATCTAAGCTAGCAAAACTGCTCAATCACTGTGGACGACTGCTGTCAAGTAGGAGAATCGAGATATGGGATTGAGGATGGTCTCACCTTCCTATCAACACGTCAGTCGTCACAGCTGCCCTTGAAGTTACTACAATCAGAAAGGATATTCCAGCTAGTCACTGGAGTGGTGTAGGTCTCTCGTCGAGAATATCTTTTGTTGCGGAATCCTGAACTCTGGACGCATTCAAAACGGCAGGCGCGCTCTGACGGCATACAAGAAAACCGGCCTCTTTGGGAAATATCATCTTCCGTGGTGGGATGGCTTCTACTCACAAGGCTTAAAATTAACAACGACCCCATGTGCCAAGCAAATTTGGTTAGAGCTCCAGTCGAAACGTTTTTACATGACACCCACTATAACACGAAATTGTCATTTAAGTTGAAGCGTACGAGAAAAAATGTTTCTGAAATCACGGAAAGTAGTACAAACCACGTAGCAATATTACATGACAATCATGAAGGACGGGTAAAATTAGGTGAGAATGATCAGTGAGTACACAACCCGCTTCGTAAATCAAACCGACACCCCCCAAGTTCGAGCCCCCAAAATCAAATTGCGATCATAGTCAGAACCAGTTGCGCGGCTAAAGTCATGGTAGCACAGACAAACTCATGCGCACCTTAGAGCAGAACATGGAAAGCGCAGGCAAGCGTAGCAGTAGCGCACACAACCCCACTAAGCATAGCTTTTCTCTACTAAATAGGAGCCACTTGTAGAAAGACCAAAGAGGGTTTACAATCTATTAATTAAGAGAAAAACCATCAGTTTAAACAACCATGGCGCATTCAGTCAGTAGGGCAGTAGATGAGATGGAGAGCGATCAGGCATATGAAGGCATGGAATACCTGGTGCTTGAAGAGAAACAGGAAGACATCAGAGCGGAAGAGGGAGAAGAAAGGCGATTCAACCGTACAAGTCGGTTACACTTGAACACATATTCCACTTCCACACGGAAATTTTAAAAACAGTGCGTAAAAAATGGAATGGCTGCTAGTTGAGTGTGATTTCCAAAAGAGGGGATACTAATCAAGACGAGCGAGGGGATGGTGATAATTGTGAGAAAGTGATTGGTCGATGGGTGTCGGTGGGAGAGATTGGCAGCAATTGGGATTAAACGTGAAAGGGAGAGAAGTGGGGAAAACAGGTTCTACTTGGTGCCGTATATGGTGAGAACGTAGTGCTCAAAGTCGAGGGCGCCAGTGTCTCCTGCAGGCCCGCCACTCAGAGGATGCAGCTTCGAGAGAATGTACTGCACCTGTTCAGGAGGAAGCTCACGTCTCAGGTCGGCCTCCGTCAAGTAGCCCTAAACCGAACGCAAAACAACAACTTAGTGCCCATAAACTACTCACTTTTGAAGCGAAAATGGCTCAACACCACATTCACCTTCTCGCCTGATATCGTGCGGAAAGACTGAAGCAGCTGGTCGGACGTATCCAAGTCGGTAAGCTCACGAGTCATGTAGTCCACGAAGACATCGAACGCAATTGAGCCGTTTGAGTTGGGATCGAGCTGTTTCATTAGCTTTAAAATATCCTCATCAGACTAAAGCACAAAAGAAGCCAAGTTAAACGCTAAATCGGTGATAAAGCTTGAGGCAAGGCAGGAAGCAAGGTGGGCACACCACATCGAAATCTAAAGGACGCTTTCCGATTATGCACGCGGGAGCTGGTTAGCACGCGCAAAAAATTACCATCAACTTATCAGCCTGTGGATGCAGTGGGGGATGAATCAATCAAAAGGCAGAATGAATTCGGTAAGGAGTTAGTTGAGTAAGTTTCCCACGCTAATAACACGCACACACAAACAGAGTAACTGTATGAAATCCGGGTATGGACATTGTGGTTATTTCGCACGGTCGGATAGATGACATGCTGCAACCAGCAGTCTTCAACACGCAGTGGAAAAAGTCACGAAATAGACGACACAAGATGCTACAACCGCAAAACATCAGCACAATGTAACAAAAGGGCGGTTAGAAGTAAATAAGGCGTTGGGTACATAGAAAAGTCGGCCCGAGCAACCAAAAGGCAATTGAAGACAACGCTTAGAGAATTAGTAGTCAGGGCTACAAAATGGCATGCAAATGTACCGTGTCTACGGAGGTCTTCCGCTGTTGAATAAAAGGATGAAGATAATGAGATAGGGCAAGCAACAATGTAATTACAGCAAGATTTCTCAACCCGACGAAAATGCCAAGCTTACTACAGATTAAATAAACATCTAATAATCTACTAAGTACCAAATCAAATTATTTCACCCAAATAAATTGTGCTTTTTGCTATACGATAAAATGAAACATTTATGCACGTTTAAAGTAGAGCATTAGACAGAACCCTCTCTCCCTCTGATTCACTCCGTCAGCTGACATTTGGCCTACCTGCTTCTTGGCCTCGGCCACGATGGAATGTCCGACAGAGACGAGGCAGGCTTTAAATTCAGGACACTCAAGGCGACCGGTATGGTCTTTGTCGAAGTGGTTGAAACAGCGGCGCAGGTCGTCCAGCTGGGACTTGCTCAAGCCCTTGGAGTCACGAGTCAATATCTGGTTTTCGATCTCATTCCTCGTGTATTTCAGACCCGTTGACAGTTGATTCCAAACAGAACGCAGAGTTGCCATCGGGACAGGGAAGTCAAGATCCCCATACGCATCTTGCAGATGCTGTGAGAATTGGCAGTATGACCGATAGATTAAATAAATGAATAATTTGGACGGTAAATCAAGATTCCAAACCCCACTACCTGATGGCAATCTTCTAGTTCACTGAGCTTGGGCCGTTGGGCTTCCAATTCTCCATCCAGATTGGTGAGAAGTTTGACCTGCTCTTCGAGGGAGGCTTCTCCGAGTCCTACATTGTTCAGACGCCCCTGGGTCTGCTCAAGCCAGCCATTGAGCTCTGTCGCCAATTGAATGAATCGCCTCCGCACCTGATCACACACCAATTGATGTTTCTTCTCCTCTTCCAACTCCTTCCTGCGTTGATCGGTCAGCTCCTGTAACGTCTTCCATTGCTCGTGCAACCTCTGCACAGGAGGAAGCATTAGTACTAGTAGTCCAGCCCCGCAGAATAGGCAGTTTTATGCTATCTATATTTCGGTCATAATTTCTTAAATTAATGAGTGGCACATTTGCAATCCGCAATGAAAAGGATTACAGGCACCCAACCATTCAATAACTACTCCACCATATCAAAACGTTGAATAGATAAATTTGGCTGCGGAATTTCACATAATCAAAAAGCATTAAAAGAGTGCAGATTCCTAGCTACTTTACGTTTTTTCTGCTGCCAAAAAGAAATGCATGCTGAAAAACGCACAGGGTGGGATTAATTACTCAAATAAAGACATACCAAAGGGCCAACGCAACCATATTGAAAACACGGGAACATATGCTCCACTTGGGATTTAACTTGTTTAGGCTCCATCGTTCAACGACAATGAGAAGTCAGCAACTAATTATTAGTATTTACATATGAATATATAGGATTTGTGCCTAACCCTTTGCAGAAATACTTGTAAAAGCATCTTCAGCTGAACATCGGGTTCGATGAGCGGGAAGTCATAAAAATAGCATCTACAATGAGAGCACCATTCACATGGGCTACGCATAACTCAAGTGGACATGGCTATATATGGCAACCAGAAAAGCAAATGGCCTACTAAGCATTGCAAATTAACCCAGTAAATGTGCACACACACTAGCGAGAATATGTTATTGCTGGAACGGTAGCATCCAATGAATAAGAAAAAGAAAGGTGGGTTACACCTATAAGACGACTTTCCCTTTGATATCAATAACTACTGAAATCGAGTCTAATTCAAGGTACTTCGAAAAAAAAATACTGGAGGATTCAAGTAACAAGTGATTATTCAAGTAATAATTCAGTTGGTCTGAGGTATTATGATATGCCTCGGTGAATTAAAAGAACTTGAGCGAGTAAGATAATCCGAAGCACTAGTACTAGTTGCTGTAGAAGAGAAGCGATCATGTGTGCAACTTTAATGCAGGCACGACCACAATCTTGGAGACAAGACAAATCATCGGGCTTACCGACGTGGTGACGTTAGTGTAGGGGTTCACAATTGATTCTCTGTTAATTTGCTTGCAGAGACCCTCAATCTCAACCTCCAAGTCCCTGATCTTCCCGTATTCTTTCGCCTTCTCCTTCGACGACTTCTCATATTCAGCATGAGCGTTAATCAGTTTCTGGAAAGCACGAAAGTTAAGAGTGTGGTAGTACTGCTTAATTATATTGGCCTTTATCACAAACATAAGTCTGCGAATTGCAGCAAAGTGAGTGTTTGCGCAAAGCGGCTAAAGTAGGCCATTGAGTGCGTGGTCAGAAATAAAAACCTAACACAGAAATTGTACGCATCAAACATAAATTTAGGTCAACACATCAAGAACGGTTCACGCCACGGATTCGCATGACCGCAAGGGTCGGCGCCTGAAAAGAAGGCCTTCGCGGGGACGTCGAAACCGCATGCGTTAAAAGATTCAACAGAACAACAGAATATATACTTGGTACACTCAACAAGAGGCTCGGTAGAATGAAGCGCTATTGCCTTAATATAGCCAAACGCAAAGCCCTAGCGGGACGCGAGAGAGAGTTTAGCGGGAAAAGAGTGAAAAGTTGTAGATGGATGAAGCACAGCCAAATAAATCAGTGCTCAGACGTTCTCCACATGCACACAAGCCCAGTAGGGCAAAATCGACGGCAACAATGGGACTACGAACCCAAACTTGAGGGAATTTCCTTTGGCCACAGTTGAAAAAGTAGACAGCAAGAATGACCTGTAGTACGGCAGAAAGGCCTACCTCAACATCGGCGGTGGATTGAGCTATAAATTTGTCAAGTAAGTCCTCCTCCGCTTGCTGCATCCAATTATGGAACGGCTAAAACAAAAAAATGGATACTAACAATGCCGTTCTGAAATTGGCAATGAAAACAAGTTAGGAAAAGGTAGACTCACAGCAGAGAGCTTTGCAATCTCAAGGTGTTTAGCATCAATTTTTTCCAAAACGGATTGCGCATCCTTACAAGAAAAGTGGAGTTAGTAACTTGGAGTGTAGTCTTTAGGAGGAAAGCTAGGACTTAACGAGAGGCAGTCCTGTCGCATAAATTTGGGGCTTTAACACAAAAGACGCGGACAAGACAGCGATAAGGAAATAATTGAAGTGTAAAGAAAACCTGAATTTACGACTTTAGTTTACAAAAAAGGATAAACGTTTAAAGCGCTCAGCTGGGCAACACAAAACAGTCGCAAAACATTAGAACGCACCGAAAGATTTTGATGACGTTTATCAGAAAGTGCCTTAAGAGAGTCCCAACTGCTCTTAATTTGAGCACACCTACTGTCAATCGAAGGCATATCCGTATAGCCAAGGTTCCTGAAATGCAAAGATCAAAGTAAACATCTGAGGTATACAAACGCGCCGGCAAAAGAGTACGCGAACAAAATATGGAACCAGTGCATACCAAGCACTTTCGTGGAATTATTTACAGCACCAAACCCGGTAAATGCTTATTCACGTGATAGAGCGCCAAAAGTAGTTTTGCTCGTACAACAGCATATAGAAAGCGAAGATGACACAATAAAAGCACTATGCGTGATTTTCCACCCATCACAAGAGGACTATTTCGCAAAACAGAAAGCCGGTGAAACATGAAATCTCGAAATATGTGGTAAGACAAACGACCTAATTTCTTGAGCGATAGACTCAATGCGCTCGACACGATCCTGCTGGGCCATTAGATCGGAGACGAAAGCTTCGTGCTTCTTCAGCATAGGACGGACTTCTGCGACGGTGCACGTAGTGTAGTCAGAGGACTGTAGGTAGTCCGATTTGCCACTCGCCCAGGCCTCGAAAGTCTTGCACCTGACCTCGAAACGTGATAACCAGTAGGCCAGGGTGGTGGTTCGCTTCCTCTCTCCCATGAGCCATTCCTAAAACAAGGAAACGTTTATACCTCAGCATCACAGGCGTAAAAACAGAAAAAGTAACACCACAGGAAACATACCTCGTAATTTTTCTCACAAATTTCTAATTCCTTCCAAAGAATTAAAATATCGGCTATCAACATTCCGTCAGATGGCAGATAAGGTGGTCGATTGTTGAGACGCAAACGTGTTTGAAGGGTGCGGAATGTGGTCTCAAGACGGGACTTTTCCTCGATTTTAGCTGGTTTTTCCTCAGTTTGATATTGGCGTAGCCCTTCTATGCTCTTATTGACATCCTCCAAATTCAGAACTGGCTTCCGGTGCTAAAAAATTGAATATTGATCATTAACTGTGTTGACAAAAGTAAAAGTAATACTCACCTCAAAATCAGCCTTCTTCTTTATAATCCACGTCTTCAAATCAGTGAAAAGACGATTGTAGGAGTCACACAGCTGATCGCTCATTTGGCTAATTTCCACGGCCTTTTTGATACGAGTAGCAGCAGCGCCAGTCTGTACGGCAGGATAAAGACGAACAAAAGTGGTTTACCTTCTCGGCCTCAGCAAACAAGTGGAAGAAGCATGAGACATATGTAATGACAGATCGATCATCGGGTTTGACAGATTCAATCATATCTAAGAAGTATAAACCATTATAACGCAAAAACCATCAACGTCGAGCATTTTTGGGATGCTGAGACTCTCCTCCGCGACGTCAAATGCCTTCGTAAGCGCATAACGAGCAGGCGCTTTGGCAACATCATTAAAGTTGAGCAGATCAGGACGATACCGATTGATGATAGCACAGAATGCCTTCCCATCTTTAAAACTACAGCAAATTATGCCGCGAGGGTGAAATACCTAGTATTAAAGTTCTTCACATTAACCTCAGGATAGGGCTCTGTGGAACGCTGGCACCAAAGAAGAAGACCGTCATTAGCAGAGCAGTCTAGACATGCAAAATAGTAACCAAATTAAAAAATACTTTCAATTTGAATATCTTGAATAGCGAATCTTAAGATAATGGTCCATATCATGCCAAGTGTCATCTTAACATTTCCATCAACGATTTCTACGAAAATAAAGGAGTAGAAAGGGGAAAAAAACCTTCAGCTGCAATTCCAACTAATTTGACACCTTTCTTCTGAATAAAGTCAAGTGCTTTATTGACGTTTAATATTTTATGAACACGAAGTTTGCCACGCTCAGGGGGAGATAACTGTTCACCAGAAATGGCTTCCAAGAGCAATAGTAGATTGAGCCCATTGCGAAAATCCTCTTCTATAATGGTTATTTCTGCATTCTTTTTCTTCAAATGAAGGTTGCACCAGGCAGTGAATGTCTAAAGAATAAAATGGGAAGGAAGCAGAAACCTTCTTCTGTTGTTTTTCCCAAATTGGATCAATCGGTGTTTCCCTTTCTGGTATTTCTTCATCGTCATCGTCATTGGCATACCCTTCGAATTCAAAAATGGATTTCTGTTGGTGTGCTTTTAGACTCCAAGCTTCATCAGACATCCCTCGAGAAGTTTAGTGATTGCTGGTAGCGCTCAAGTCCAAACAACTTAAACACCCAACGTTCCTCTCAAGGTTACTCAATTAATATCCTTCACTAACAATATTACGTAAGGAATATTCAGCATAATTATCATTTATGTTATCCTAATGGAAATTAAGGTATTTAAATACTTTTGGTAGGCGTTATGAGTACACGTGGAAATTTATCCAAACGCGTTTCTTGCAGATCAAACAAAGAGAACCTTACATTACGTACAAATTACATAATGTTCAAAAGTGTGCTCACGATACAAGGTCTTCAATGGCAGGAAACGGAAACTGATATATATTTAATTGATACTTGCTAGGCTCTAAACATTTTCAAAACCCTAAAGTTTTCCAATGCAGAGGTACAGTTGCTATGTAGTTGAAAATTACATCGAATTTAGCATTGTATCTGCAAATTATTTGCTGCATCGTCGCAACAATCCAGACTCCAAAGTAACTCGGAATAAAACATCATTTTGCAAAGCGATTGCAGCTTGGACATGCTTGTGTATTTTGCCCATTTTCAACTAAAAGCGGCGCTATGAATTAATTAATAAACCAAATTCATCTAGTTACAATAGTTCCAGCAAAGGTTTTGGCCATTATTTAGCTTTCTGTAACACTTAATTTACGGTCGGAGTCATACTGTGTGCCCGTCTGCTAACCTATAAATTTTTATCACGCTACCACATTTCGCTGCAACCACAGGTACGCGTCACCCGCCAGTTTAAGTAACAAGTTGGCTGGTAAAATGCGCGTCGGAGCCTATAGAAGGAAGGCTTCTTTTTCAGTTAAGGAAAAGCAAAATGAGGCGCTCAATACCACTATGTGCATCTTACAAAATTATGGTCCAATGGGATTTCTTATCCAAGAAGAAAATGCAAAGCAGAAATTTAAGGTTAGTAAATACTACTTACAGTTCGTAGGTTTTCATTGGCGAACGGCATACCTGTAGTTGCAAAGTATTTGTTAAGGAAAATGACTTATGTAAGCATATATGCTGGATCCTTCTGAAAAGATTTCGACTAGACAGGCACGATCCAAGTAAACCTTCTTACGTAGCGCACCACCTTCAGTGTCTTGGCAAAGTGGTCTTTGCGAAAGAGAGATCTTGATTCTGTTGGAGAAGTATTCGATTAACACTAGTAAAAAAGCTCCTACCACTTCGAAAACTGAACAGAGGAGTGCCTGTGGTGTATGTCTTCAATTGAGTCTCAATATTTCACCGTAGTCTCAAATTAAACAACGTGCCATTGAAATAGACGACATATGTCCTATTTGCCAAGATAAATTTTTGTGTCATCAGAGGTTTCCTGTCACATTTTGCCGCAAGGGTTGTGGTAATAATGTTCATATTAAATGTATGAAAATATGGAAGGACCATCAAATAAAGGAAAGAAATCTAGGTACCTCTATTGCATGATGCTCTAATTATCCATTAAGATAGATTTGATATTGTATCCTGTCCAATGTGTAGAGGAGAATTTTCAAAATTGGAAGACCTTATTTTAGAGACCACACTTTGTGAAAACTACTTTGCTAAAACAAATATGTTGGTCCGGAACACTGATTCATTGTCAAACAGCATAACCAGAGATTTTGAAGTGCCTGAAGAACACAATTGCATGTGCACTGATTGCAACTGTTCACCAATAATTGGGAGATTATATTGCGCGAGTGATGGTGAGAGTTTTTTGAACATTGATAAGTCAAATTTGCTACTATGCAGTAAATGCTTCGAGCAGCGCACAAGTGGACGCCTTATGGAAAAGTCCCGTTTTTATTGGAAAGAGGCAAGAATGTTGTATTTTGAAGTGAATTTTAGTGAATTTATCAATTTTTATTTTAAGACATCTCAGTAAATTGCATGGAAAAGCCAAACTTAATTGGCCCATGCGCACCTTTGACGTGATGTTTCTACATATTGGGTATCAATTTTTCAGAAGTGTTTCATATTCGATCGTTTGAATATAAGTGCAAGAGCGACATGAGAGGTATGATAGGGGAATTAAGCGCTTAGTTGTAAAATTGCACCATTAAATTCATTCTTAGGTCGATGGTGCACCTTCTCTTGTAAGTCCTAATATTATGATGTTGTTGCTTGTGTTCAACACGAAGAAGTTCATCATATTACTTGAGGCATTAATCCCTAGTGCCTTGTCGCCTAAATCCAGTAATGGTCATGTTTAGAGACGATTTTAATTTGCTAACTCTATCTAAAAACGATGGGTATAAGTGAACTTTGCATCCATCAGGACAGATTTGAAAATTTCAACGGTGATTTTTCCAGAAAATATCGGAAAAGTGGCGCAAGATACCTTGGAACTTTGACATACTTAGCGGACTTGATCAGCATTATGTAGAAAACAATCCACGTAGGTAAGCTGTTTTACTATTTCCTACATTTTTTAAATTTGGAATTTTATAGGAAGAGCTAGTGCATACAGTCCGTTCAAATTCAAATCACAATGCCTAAATTGTGTCCGAAGCGGTGATGTTTCTTTCAATTGAACTCTTATCTAATGCATAATTGAGGCTGTATATTGCCTAAGGTCAGTATCTGTCTGGGAAGCTCTCACAAAGCCCTTGTGTCGAAAAGAACTGGGTCGAATGGCCAAATGGCTCATTAAGGCCGCGCACACCAACCTGCCTAAGGGGGCAGCCTTGGGCGGGACGAGGGAGCTCGGGACCGCGCGAGGTCTTCTAACACCGGGGCGACAGTGCCGGATCTGTCTAATGCATTTTCGTGAAGGGGAGGAAGTTAGAAAACTGTTACGCTGCAATCACGTCTTCCATACAAAATGCGTTGATCAATGGCTTCTTCATGTGTCAGTTTTTTCGTCTTTACATTTGTCACTTGATGGGATACGTGTGGTTTGCGTCATATTTTAGTGGACTTTTGTCAGGACTTTTGCAAAAATCCAGCATGTAAGCTTTTCAACAATAGGGGCACTCCTTATTCCGCAAAAGTTATCGGACCTGTACCATGCTCCTAGACTATAGACATCCATTTCATCCACTTGCTTGAGAAGGGAGAATCTCGGTTCCTGTATGCCAGTCGAATGCTTACCAATGTATCGGGAAACCTTAGATCTAGAAGCAATTCACAAAAGACCGCTTCTTAAGACCAACCAGGTGAAATCGAGGTAATTAATTAGGTGCGCTTTTTTGAAGTTTGAGAATCCCAAATCGCCTTCACATGAGGCAAATTGATGGTTTAAAAGTAGTCCAAATTAAAGATTACGTGGTTTGAGTAAATTTTAAGAGACAAGAAATTGGCTTAATTTACGCGTGTAACCACTTGCACGCCAGATGCAAAATTTAGCGCCCCTTAAACGATAGCATTCTGTGGGTAGTAATTTGCGGAATATCTCCGCTAGAAAGTTTTATATTAGCGGAGAAAGTAGGAAGTGGCATCGAGTGACCAACCCAGTGAGACCTGACCCACTTGGCAATTCTCCATATGCACATGACCTTAAATTAAGGAGATCAAGCAAGAGTTTAATCAATAGAACCGCGTAGTGGCTAAGTCAATACCATAATTCAATGCTTGCTAGCCCCTAAGTGACATTTTGAAAACGTTTTCTTCGCAATTCCAAATCGTGGGTAGTTATCATTCACAAGATCAAAGCACTTGAGCATTCATATGAAGAATGATCGTAACGTAATTGCTCCATGAGCAGGTCGCCAAGCTGTCCCCTGGATGGAATAATCGCAGTGCCCATTATCCCCTGTCTACCAATCCGGAGCGAGAGGGACAGGTCCGAGAGGTGTTCCCCGTTCCAAGGCACCTCCGATACATTGAAGGCAAGCTGAAATCACATTTTTGAATTGCTAATAACCCATGAGCTCCTCGGGTTAACAAACTCTGTTATTCAGGCTGAGTGGCAGTAAAATTCCTACTTTGAGTTATTGGCTAAAAGAAAAGATTAGTGTAAGATTAACATAAGCATCATCGTCGGATAGAAGTCTGCGGTGATAAAGTATGGTGACATTCTAATTCATATACTACTAAGCAAATCTTACCCAATTTTATATTCAATTGTATATTTTTTATTTTTTTATATTTTTAGCTAGTTAAGCAACGCTGCCCAAGATTTTATTAATGCATATGTTAAACAATTTGCCTAGCAATTAATAACTTTCCTCTAAGCACTTGAGGTTGGGATTTAACTTGAATGGGGTCTGGACGAGCTGTCAACACTTCAGTAGATTGCAATGTTACTTTGATAGCTCAGATCTTGAGCTAATTGTAAAATAACTGTGTAAATCAGCTGCATATTTCCTTTGAATATGAATGGATGACTCGAAGATAGAATCATTCTGTCCTTTGTCGTAGCAGTCCGCCTATTACTTAACATGAAGTAAAAACGCAGCTCGAATGCAGTGAACCCTTTTCCGACGCAGTGCCACCACCTTTCAGCGAAGTGGTTTTTCATTCTGTAAACCACCCATGCAGGCTTCAGCCGTTCCGACGCGTTGACAGTTATGGGTAGTAATCTTGAAGCACGATCAAAAGACAATAGCATTCTATCCTATAGGGCTGAAATGTGGAGGATTTTCTTCCATGATAGCTTCAAATTCCAACAGTACAAATTTGCCACTATCATTTCCCTAGGACGACATTCCTCAGCCACGCCAAATCCAGTAAACTTTTACTTCTCCATACAATCTACAAACATTTTGTTGCAGAATGTTGGAGATATCCTGAAAATCAGCTCATTCTCAGATGCAGCCCGTAACCTGTGTGTGAACAGCGAAGCCAGAAGTCATCGGGACGAAGTTAGATTTGTCACCCCGCCGCTCGAAATAAAGTCCGCAGCTATCTGCCAAAGCTCTTCGACCAACATCTGCACGAAGAAAACTTTCTCAACCCCCATCAGACCAATATGCAAGAGAACCCAGGTAGGGACAATATTAAGGCTTCCTGTTCATCGTTTTTTAACACCCTCAAAGTGAAAAGGTTCTTTATGTGGTAATTTACACTTGAGAAATTATTGTTTATGAGATATAAACTCTGCAAACTCAATGGACAATAACAACCCGTTTTCCTCAAGGTCACTTACCTGACAGATGGTAGACAGATGGCAGTCTCAAAACAAAAACAACTAACGTTTAAGTGCATGACCCCGTATGGGAATAGTGCACCGATGAAGGCAAAGCAGACGAAGCGTGGGTAAAAAAACTGGTAAAGGTCGTCATACTCGGTAGGGATTCAGGAGATGATGGCGTGATGGGTACTGGTTTATGTTTTAATTTTGCTCTAATCAATTTCAGGAAACATCGCGCCCGACGCGCAGAATGAGCGAGAAATACTGGTTAAGAATGTAGCCCGAGATAGACACCAAAGAGAAGAACCAGCCCGATTCGCAAGCCCAAGAATGGGACAAAAAGCCATGTTGAATTAATAAAACAGTTGCATGCATTCATTAAAATGACGACAAAAATATAGGAGAAAATCAAGTAGAGTTGTTAGTTATTCGCATATAAGCGCAGGAAAATGTCATTTAAATACAGGAGGAGAATAAGGAGGGATCTTGGAAAGGGTGTCAATATCAGGGCAAAGGTGAGAGATGTAGGGTATGCACGGGGGAGGGTGGGAGGAGGGTGAGATGGGTGGGAAGACAGCGAAAAAGCGAGATGAGAGAAAGCATGTATACTTATTGCACATGGCGACTGGAGCTGCGGCTGTGGTGGGGAGGACTCAGTGGGAAGGGGTGGGGACGGCGGAGGCAGTAGAGACGGTGGGAGCAACATTGGTGGTCGCGGCCACGACGGCAATGGGCTGGTGGGTATCTTCAATGGCGAGGATGGAGCTTGAGGACGCCACTGTCTCCTCACCCGCACCAGCAGTTGAGTCCTGTCCACGCAGTCGGAGACGCGCAAAGTCCTCGAAGATCAAATCGTCACTGGGCAAATCCACTGCCCTGTGTGGTTAAAAGAGGTAATGAATGATGACCCAGAATTGGTATCTACCGCAGTTCAAAATGCCACATAGGTATAAAAACATCGAAAATTTCACCAGAAGCTGTACTGTGAAACTGCATCTTAAACACGACACACTTGCACTCCTTATCATAAAGTGAAATCATAAGATGATTGCTTCAAATACTGTGCATACCATAGAAAAGGGTGGGCGTCTTCTTTTACCAAACCATTTGCTGTTGTGCGTACGTTAAAGTTGTTCTTGATGCAAAACGAGAATATGAAAAATATGAATCAGGTACTAGGGGATCATCAATTCCGAGTGATGGTCAAAGCAACTCAAAACAGAGACTCAATGTTTCACTTTATTCATCTTGTTTACTAAAAGCATCCTGGAATAGTGGGGCATTCTTGTGGAAGGAGATTACGGTGAGGACACCATGCAAATGAGAATCGATTAGTTTACGGAACCATTCTCGAAAGCTTTTGCCGTAGGTTAACTGGGAAACAAAACCAATGTTGACGAGAGAGGTAGCTAAATCAGAGGGAAAGAAGGTGGTGATAGTCAAGGGGAAAAAACCGGCTTGCCGTTTGCCAGAGGGAGGATCCTCAAGGTCGATGAAGTCACCTGTCGCGACACCGGCAGTGATCTTCACCTCTCTCCCTATCTGCTCCCCTTCTGTCTGGTCCGGTTCTCCCTCTACCGTCCCTTGTTTGGCGAGAAATGATGAGGGGACGATAGCGCTGCCGCAATCGGCCTCAATTTCCTCCGGCGGAGGCTTCGGGTGCGCCAGCGTGAAGGGTAGCTCCACCGACACGTCGCTATGGTTGCAAATCGTAAGACAGGTCAAGGCAAACTGGCTGCACTACTAATCATGCCGCCTAGGTTAATCACTGGGTTAGCTGAAAAAAGATGGGATAAAATGACAGGCGGTGTTATGACCTTCACATCAGTCCACGTACAGACCTTGGCGGTGGTGGCAGGTGCTATCACATATGCAGGCAAACGAACAAAGCTCGTCACATTACTAACTAATGAAAGATAAAATTATCAACCGACAGATGTGCTGGGAACCGAAATTTTACAACGGGATTTGTTAAATTTACAAAAGAGGAAATGATGAGCATAGCATAAAGGGACAAACATTGAGTGGGTTTGGCGTCCCATGTTCACTAGAGTGGGTGCCGTGTGTTTAAATACCAAGATAAAACGTGACGTTAGGTCGAGATGAAATTGAGAAAAAAAATTAATCTAAACGGCAAGTATGACCGTGGAGGTTTAATCGTTCCAGAAGTCAAAGGGACAATAGTTACCTTGCTCCGAATCCTAGAGCCAGTCGTACTCGAACGCGGTATTGGACAATGATGCCGAGATTCTCCTTCTGTGTGGGGTTGAGAATGCTAAAAGGGCGTTATCATTTATTGGCAAAGGTTTAGTATACACAAAGCCTGACATGAGGGAGGAAGTGAGTCACTCACACGACGTCCTCAGAAAGCAGATAGCACGAATTTATCGGCTTTACTAAGTCAAATAACTTCAACTGGCACACACGAATAGGTTTTTACGTTTGACAGGTGACAAAATTGACCATAGAATTGTTTTCCACAAACACTGGTGCTCACCTTGGAAATCAATAAGATTTTCTTGACAGTAACATATCATTGCAATCCAGAGTAGCAAAATTTTCCATGTGAATGATATTAGTTTGACACTTTAAGGGTTACCATCTCCTAGAATTCCTAATGGCATTGCTTTTATTCGCCTGTGGATAAAGAGGCATTGCATTTTGCTATCTCATGAACTACCGCAAAAAAGTTATAAGAACATATTGTCGAAATGGGAAACAATTTCATGAAAAGATTGAAGGCAGTAGCCCAATTCAGTGACGTATTTGGGCTAAACACTCGGTGCGCAATGTCATTCGGGTTGTGAAGACGGCGTCCGAAATGATCAAATACATATAGGCGTGAATACGTCATCTTTCGAGTCAAAAATGATAGAAATATGTCAAGTACAATGTGTTTAAACGTTCGAAGATATACTTGCCCAAAGCGAAGGGGCCATTATTTAAACCAGCATATATGGCTCTACGCACCCGACATGATAATGCTTGTAAGATGAAAAATGGGCAAAAAGAGTTACTGGAACTAGAGAATTCTGCGATTTCACGACTACTATTCAAGTGTTCTTGTAGTATTCGCACAATGTGATTCGCAAAAGGGAGTTGTTGCGCAAAGACTAGTGAATTTCCCACAGATATACGACACCAGTTAGTGATAAATGAATCGACGATTTTTGGCTAAACGCGGGACCCCATTGGCCTTAATTAAAAATTTCAGATTCATGGTTACCTAAATGGTTTTGATTTATGATGGAAAAGAAAGTGCAACACATTTAGGCGATGATGTCTGAGAGTAAATTTGGGATATAATGCATCTAAGCTCAAGAAGCGAATATTAAAAGCACTTTTCAATGCCGTACCTAAGAGTTTTATTGAACACAAATGGAGCAACTGTAAAATCCCGCTCCGTTTGAAAAATCATGTAGTTGGGAGAGCGACAGGTCTCTGCCTCCTGGATGTGACAGAGAGCAATGGGAGAGGAGATAAGTCATTTTCAGGAAACAGCGATAGAAAAGATAGGTCGCCTATTATACATGTATATAAGCAACACTATACAAGGCTGTGACCAATAAATTGAGAGAAAGGGGGTGAGGACGGATGGGGGAGCGGAGAGAAAAGACTTACATTGTGGAAGAGGCCAAATTAGTGTCTTCATTCTTGAGTTTACCGTCGAGAGCAAGACCGCGTTTTTCTCGATTATTGGAGAGGAGAGGACACATGTGGTACACCTTACACCAGCCTGTTTGACTCGGCAGGATTGGACAACCCTCTCTATGCAAAGAAAGTAGCCAAAACGGACTGCATTAGATTGTGTTTTACGAGATTTGGGTCTAAATCAAATTACAAAACCCTCTACATACTTTATCATTTAAACAAGTTGCACATCTACAGGATGATGTCCAAATTGCAATCGAAATACTAGATTTGTGAAACTCAAAAACAGTAAGTTGATCTGTTGCGAAGATCTAAAGCACGCCGCAGATAGTTGGGCACAAGATCGACCCATTTTGTAAAACTTATCACTGCACAACTGGGCAAATAACTAACGTAATCATAAAAAGAAATTTGCAAATTTAAGAAATGAAAATAAACACTTATCTCGGTAAAAGCCATGACACGGGAGTAACGCTTAACAACAGATGTCCTCAAATAAATGTACAATTACTACCGAGTTAATATGGAGGAATCAGCAGGTCCAGTAGACAGGCGGATAATAGCAAGAGACAGGAAGAGGACAACTAATGCTACTTTTTTGTAAATATTGGTAGGCAATTTTCATAAACTACCCAGTCCATGATTCGTAAACTTTTGCTTTAACAAAGTAAAAGACATTCCCGTGTTCGGAATTAAAAGTATCATGATACCAGAGGGTACACAGTAAGTATATATTTACTAGTCTCTTACACAGTTCACCTTCAGGTAAACAGATTAGGAGAATCATGTGAGTGTGATAGGAACAGCATCGTTCGACGGAATAGTTAACACGCATAAAGTCGAATGGAAAGAAAGGTTGCGGGGTGGGAAATTCAGTCAACGAATTTACCTGTAACTCAATAGATAAAAGACATCCCACAGTTCTACATGTGTACAGAAAAACGTGACATCAGGTATGATGAGATTTATGCAGATTAAAATGTGCAAATCTAGTTTCATAGAGCCATGTTATGCTTAAACCGATAATATTTTATCGGTGGGCGGCAAGAATACCGGAAGAGGGACTGGACTTTGGTCTATTGGTAAACGAATATAAAACGAGGGACTCGGACACGTAACGAAACTGGCTAAACTCTCAAATGTTACTTGAAAGATGTTAGGACCTTTCACACTTAAACCAAGGATGAAAAACTGGATTCCTAAAAAGCAGTGGAAAACGTTCATAGTGAAAGGAATTTTTACACGTTTATTTTTAGCAATAAACGGTGCATTATCCTATTCACGTATCGACTAGATGAAGGAAGGAAGCGGAACACTAAGAGGAAAGATTTTTCATGCTCCGCAGCATTCTGTTAGGTTGTGGTATGCCATCCTCGGCCTAGATGGAATGAACATCGTAGTAAGATGTAGCTAAAAAGGCTTACTCAAACTCCGCCTCATCGACTGTGCACTTGTAGACGGCGCGACTGAACAGCATGATGTCCGCCACCTGAATCACTGCAAAGAAAACACTGACAATTCTGAGGGTGAAATTCGTTATCGATTCAGTTTGCTTGGAACACACCTGACACCTTGATCTTCTTCACAGTTTTGTTGGAGTTGTTGTCCACCAGCACGTTAACAGCTATGTACTCACCATGGTAGTATTTCTAGAAAATGCAAACGAAAGTGAAGGCGATAACTTCTCATTTAAAAACATCCACGTAACGGCTTAAAGCAGTGTCGTTTAAGTTGATTTTAGCCGGAAGGATCGTCGACTTCAGAATCCACTACTGCACTGTGAAGCTACGGCGAAATGAATTGAACCAGAGATTGATGCTTACGTATTACACCCAATACAGCGGACTTTAACAGTATGGGCCGATAAGAAAACGAACGGAATTATCCATTCATGTTGCTTTGCGGTTATCAAACATAACGCAGACCCTTTTACGCATACCTAAAAATGACATAAACGACACAGACTGTCGAAACCCTCAATACGGGTCATATAAACGAGGCTTAATTAGGTAAAGAGGGCAATTCGACCAGGCAAGAGTTGGTACAGAAACGCACGGTACATCTAAATGTCAATCATCAAAGATGGCAGGAAACATAGACACACAAGGCGAAAGATAGGCACCTCCTTGTCGAGTGAGACCTCGAGACGCAGGGTTCCCGGGCTCATTATGAAGTCCTTGATGATTTCCGCGGAAGGCTGAGGGACCGACTCCTCCGGGGCGTAGGTCAACTTCCGAATGGCCATCCGCACTGAGCTCCTGGAAAACAGACGGACCAAACTGTTCTTTACTAAGATAAAGCAGGATCAAGCTTCACCCGTGAGGTACAGAGTAAAAAAAATGAGCAAAGCACTGTTTCCATGCCTCAACCCACCAGGTTTGCTCACTGGCTCTAAATTTTTTACCTAGCCTAGTCTGAAGCAACACAACAGAAGAAAAAGCCTTCAGGGAAGCGTTTGGCGGTGCATTTGAAGGACTTTTTAGTTGATGCGAATATGTTTGAGGAAAAGATCCGCATCGGCTGATTACAAACCACAAAAAGAAAATTGGTATTAAATAAGGGACTTTGAACAAGTGACTCCTATATTTACTTTAAAGTGTGCAGTTATGACTACTCTGGAGCATTTATGGCATCCTAGACGGCAAAACAAGAATTGGAAATATGCAAGCTCCAAAAAAATTTCAAGGAGGTCAACAAAAGTGTGGAACCTAAAACAAATGGGAAGCAAAGTGATTGCCACAAATCACCAAATGCAATGGAATTCAACATTGGCAAAACAAAATAAAATCTCCGCTCAAATTTTTTTCCGACTGAATAAAGAAACAAAAAACGTTTGATGAGTCAAAAGATGAAAAAAAAAAGAGTGAAGAGGGGAACGGATTAGATGCCGACTTTAATGGTCTTAGAAAAATAATTTGCTTACATACACCGGTGTACGAAATGAAAGTGGGGAAAGTAAGTTTTATTCGAAAAAGCGAGTTTATTCAGTGCCTGAAACGAAAGCAGAATACATAAGAGTGCACAAATTAAAAAACGGGAATTGATTCACATATGGAGATGCTTGCGCATTCGTCACTCCCCAAAATTCTCTAACAAAAGCAAAAGATAATAATTGTTGAAGACTACTTTTCAAATGAAAAAAGCAATTTGTAGGGTAAATTTACGCAAGAAATTTTAAGACCATTTGGAATTAGAGACAATCAAAAGGGCAGTACGGAGCCCTTCGTAAGAGTATGAGCATTACCACAAGCACAAATAAACTAGTGAAAGCGCAGCATCCTGGAAGTAAGTAATGATTAGGAAGATCGCTCTACCTTACAGCCTCAGCGATATATGCAGTGAATTAACAGAGGGGCAATTAAAGAAACAAGCATAATCAGAGGTTAAGGTAAGTGTGCATTAAAGGGAACGTGAATATGACCGTGGGTTTGGATGAAGCTTGAAATCATTCACGTTTTTCGGGGACAGTGACCATCGGTTAATGGGCACACAGCCAACCACCCTTGAGCTAAAATGGGAAGTGAAAGAGAAATAAAATGCTAGTGTTTTAAGAAGCGTTGAACACAATGTTTAAGTCACATTAAGACTATGGTCAACTGAGTCTCTCAAGCACTATGAACTTAGGATGAAAGAGAATATTTTAAACTACTAAAATTCATTGATTTCAGCAATGAGTATTTTGAAACCCAGAAAGGTTCCCACATGATGAAGTGAGTTAGACAATTCGCCAACATTTATGCAGGACTGCTAATACGGAAATGAAGGAGAAGATGTGAAATGAACCCACTGAAAGTACTACAATAATAAAATTACAAAAAGGATGGTAACGAATCCCAACTTAAGCTGCTAAACGCTTGTATAGGTAAAGTATGTTTTTGGTGTACCGTCCGGCCCTCTATATCTGAAATGACCATCGGTTACAAGCGAACGAGCCCATATGCAGGCCGATCCCGTGAAGGCAAGTGATAATTAATTTTGAATCAAGCAAATAACCTTGATTTAGAATCACTCCGATTAGATGCCCTGACTTAGAGTATCTACGAGGCACTACAGAACAAAAAAAAGCAAATAATGTTGTCGGTTGTCATTTTTGGTAGAAACTATGGCGACAACATGGGACAACGTTCATCCCAGAAAAAGGAGCATAATTCGATGAACCAACAAAAATGTCAATCAGCATAGCCGAGTTCGTTTCAGCAGTTTAACTTGTAAATGTTACTTATATTAGTGGTATATCCAACAATCTCGATCCCAAAGCGGAAATTGTTAAAAAATATCCAAGACTTCCGAGAGCGAAAAATCAGCGAAATGCCTCCCAATTCCACTGAAGATATTCACAAAAGGACCAACTAGCGTGAATTTAAACAATGAAAAATCTAACTTACCGAGACTGAGGCTTTTCGTCGCATTCTTCAGCTATGTAAGCCCTTAGCTCATAATCCACACCGCAAGGCTGAAATTGGAAAATGAAGCAAATACATTAACGCTTAATGGAGAGATTTTAAAAGCCTCACCTATGGGTAATAACATCAAAGTGAAGGATTCTCAACATATTTCCGATGTGTAAAGGTTTAATTATACCTGTTTAATACCTTTTTGCTGTTAAATTACACAATATCAGACGTTAACACACCGAAGTACAAAATCGGCTCATTTTCGAGAATTGAAGCAGGCACACGGCTGAGATGTCAATGTTTTGCTGCTAGATTAGCATATTACTTTAGTCGGACTTAAGAATGAGAGTTTATCGTTGCGGTGAAAAGACACGGAAGTGTGTAGAATAGATCCCAGTAAGGAGCGAAAATTTGAACAGTGAGGAAAAGCTGCAATGTTTAAGAGAGAATTAACACATATCCTGAAGGCATGATTCCAAATGAAGGGAATGACAACCGTAGAATTACTTAAGGCACAAATGAAAAAAATATGGGGATTGTGGTCATTTCTGGATGCGCAGAAGGTAGGCGCCTCTTGTAAACGATTGGAGTGTGAGGCAAAAAATGTCCTATATTTCAGGTGAGGAAGGCGCGCAGAATTTAGAGAAAGCCATTCATAACTGAAATCAGTCTCCGATTGTCCACGTCTCATCGCGTTGCATTAAAATAACACCAACAAAACGCAAATGAGTGTATTAGTGAATTGTAGCAACTAATATAGCAGTACGGGTACTTGTCGGATTCAATGTAAGACAGAGTACTTGGTTAGCTTGAAAAAAAAGTAAAACACGTAGGCATAAAAAGGGCTTCCACCCAAAGCTCAATTGAGGATCCTATATTGTCGCAACATTGAGGCGAAGTAAATCACTCTCCCATTCCCATACATCGATTTTAAGAAAAGAGTTTATGCAGAGGTGGAATTAAGAACAAACGACGATGAAACGCTGAAGCACTGATACATGACCACTGCTCTTGGTTCATTTACGGCTGAGAGATGAGTGAACGAAATGGGTGTGGAGTCGACAATACTTAGCCAAGTGCAATCAGGTTGCCTTGCTGGCGGCCCCAATACACGCGTATGCATGTGCGATCGTCACGCATTCGACTTGAAGCATTGGATATGACCTCTCCACTCCATGCACGTCAACTTATTTTCTCCTTCCATAGCTTTTGACATCACAAAGCCAGCATATAGGTGATCGATAAACAACTGCACGACGTGTACCTACACACCTTTCCACTATCACTTGGACCGGGCTGCAGAGTGACCGAAGCCGGCGTAGCGAATGGAAGCTAAAAAGGAAAAAAGGTAAAATGCATAGCGTTTACGCAAACTGAAAGATTACTCCCCAGTGTCCACACATTATTATCAACTCATACAAACTTCAAACAAATTGAATTTTCCAAAAGCGATAGTTGAGTTCTTTCGTGTTAAAGTAACCACACGAAAGAAAATAACCTCAAGAATTGTGAAAACCATCATAAGGCGTCGCGTACTTCTGACTGGACAGGAATGCAGGAAGACTGTACCGAACTGAATGACCTTTACGCACCCAAACCATAAGGAGGGGGGTTTGAGAAGGCTACGGTGTCGATACAAAAGAACGAATCGCCGCGCTTAATTAGTTTTATGAAAAAAAGTGGTTATAGTATTAGCTATTGTTCATTGCAACCTATGACGAGGTGAACTTGACTGCAACAAGCCAAAAGAATGACCAACAAAATCACTAAATTTACCATTTGATAGTTAGCAAAAAACTTATCGTTGCAGGAGCCGGTAAGTGAACAAGTAAATGAGTAAAGACTTGACCAGAAGCTTCAAGAACGCTGAGCCGGACAGAAAAAAAAGTGATAACACCAAAAGTAACACGCAAAACACTTTCTATGCAATGCCAAACGGCCAGAAGCGTAGTGGTAAGACCGCATACAAACGACCTGGAAGCCCATACACGAAGGCGAGGCAAAAACACGATGCCAAGGGAGGACAGGAATACTTCAGCGAGACACAAGAGACATCACAGCTAATGCTCGTGAGTTTCGTGACCATCGCTATCCCCCTTAGTTATCTTGAGTAGGTGCAGCTGTGGCTCATATAATGCGTTAGAAATGGAAGTTATTTTCGACAGATCGGTAACTGACTTTTACAATGACTCAAGCAAGTACAGGAGTCAGGAGATATTATAACACTAAACCAACCAAGATGATAAAACTGAAAAGCTACTAATTTCACATAAAAAAGAAATAAATAGAAGTGTTCAATACGCCCAACAACCACAAATAGGCATGGATCGCCTTTGAATGGGAAAGATTGCGCAGGCTTGCGTTTACACTGAACGAAATAAAATTAAGGGAGGGAATAATGTAAGACGACAAAGGCAGCAATTTGGTAAATTTTTAGAGCCACATCATTAAATTTTATTGGTTTGGCTTCCCATCAATGGTAAAACCTGAAACCTCAATTTGAAGGTTACTTTTCCGTTTCTTAATTGCTTACATAAAGAGAGACCACGGATGCCCGTTGTGCAGATGTAATCATGCAGCAAAAGGTGTGACAGCATAGAAGGGACTCGATGCAGTTGCGAAGACCATGGTAAAAACGCAGAAAATACGTCACAAGGTATGTTTGGAACGGAAACCCGGTCACAAAATAACAAAAGCTAAGGGTTAAGCAAGGAGCAACACGTTTTAGACATTGATCATTACAGGGAGGAGAGTTTTAGAGGACAAAGAAAATTTTACGAAGTGAGAAAACGAAACTTGTGAATCATGTAGGCAATCGACCTAGGAATGACAAATTGGATTAATGACACATTGGGTATTGGGTGTCGGCATAAAATTGTGATAAAATAGGATAGGACCAAAATAGTTCATATCAAGAACTATGAAATAACAAAGCTACGTATTGTCCAGTGAAACACAATGTTGGATGAGTGTACTATCATGAAATAGAGGCACCTTAACGAAAAGCACAATCACCTCATTTTTATCTTAATTTTAGGAAAATTTCAGTAGTATCCTGTTGACTGATTGGCGAAAAATAAACCACAAAAAAATAGGAATCGCAACATCACGCAAGACACTAATGACCTCCAAAACTAAATAATTAGAAAAATAAGTACAAATTTTGTGGATACGTTTCATAACATACTCTTACTAATTCGACCAGCAATTCTATCGCAGCTCAACCCAACCAAATGTACCACAAAAGTACTCCAATATAACAAAAATAAGCCGCACTAACTAATCAACGTAAAAGAAGTGCCGAATCAATAAAGTGAAAGCAAGAAAATTCCCAAGCAGTACAAAAGTACGTACTTCAAAATAAAACGGATATGCGCTAGAACCTAGTTTTTTGATCAGACGTTCCTGCAGACGAGTAAGAGGCTTTAAGTCGGTGGGAGTGCTTTCAGGTTCGGCAGAATTTTCCTCCTCATAAGACGATGGACTCCTTCTTTTAGTTCCTGAATTGCAAGAAGCCACGGCGACGACGGGAATGGGGTTTGTAGGAAGACCATCCAAAAATGGTTGCTGAGGAGGATACAGCTGCGCGGAAGCTAAGAATAGGTCCTTTCGGAATGACAATCCTAAGACATCAAGATCTTCTCTTCCGTATCGGAACGCAGCCAAAACATGAACAAAAACTCGACGATTTTTTACATATGATTCGTCAACAAGAACGACGCCCTCTATTTGAAATCGGACCTAAATTGAAATCGGAAAGCATACCGATGGGATCAACATAATTGAGATGATCCAAAAAATCTCTCTTAGATAAATATGCTGTGATCTAATGACGTGCTATAATGGACAAAAAAAGGTACCTTCCCGTTCGGGCTACTTTTTTTAAATACTCTAGTGCCGTGTCTTTTTGAAAATTCACCTTCTGCATCCGCCATTTACCGAGAACCACCCATTCAACAAAGCAGTCGTATACTGCACCAGTTTAAAATGGGCAAGGAGCCGGGAGTTAGTTAAAAGCATTCTGGCAAAATCAGAAGACAAAGGAAATCATTGCCTTCGAGGGTTTTAAAGCGTTAGCACCAACAAACAAGGTTTTAAAATTTAAAAATTTAAAAAAGGTAAATAAAATTCTATATTTTGGAATGAGCACTATTATAAGAACCATTTTCCTAACTGCAAATAAGAACCTATTAAAATGGATAAACGCGCTATATAATGATACATAAAGGCAGCTAAGATACTTCCAATACATTTCAGCAAACAACACTAAAGTGTTAATCACCTGTGGCAAGTTTATTCGTTACTGAGATGCTAATATCACCAAAAACACTTTTTTATTATATTTAATCGGTTGCAAGTTCGACTTTATCCACTTCGGTAATCTTAAATGCACGAAGCATTAGGGTGGATGAGAAAATATTTTTTTGGATGTTATTGTTTGCAAATTTTTTTAGTCCTCAAGTCTAGTTTAAAAATTATTATTTAAGGAACTTTTGGGAAGAAAACACTTATAAGGGAATTTTGTTGATTTGGTTTATCGAATGCAATCTATTTACGACAATCCTATGCGGTGACTACCCACCCGCTACTTTTGCTGGATTGCCTGCTTCCACCATCATTGGTTCCTTAACCTCCCCGTCCATTGCTACTTTGGCCGTTTTCGTCATTCTTTTTCTCATCTAGCTCTTAGGCCCTGCAACATGTTCTATCATGTAATAACCGCTTAAGAATCTCAGTTTTGTAGATGCAGTTAGAACATGAGATTTTATTGCATCCCAAATACTTTGGTCCAAACCTAATTGAGACAGTAAAGGCGAAGCTTTTTTCGGATATTGAAGGCACATGTTCTGGCAAGTAAGGATATTATTAGAAATTTGAATCACAGATATGGATTTATTGTTGCAGTAACAAACATTGACCATATTGGAGCTGGGATGCTCCTTCCTGGTCGAGGATTTGTCCAGTACCACATAGTGTACCGAGCCATTGTATTCCGACCTTTTAAAGGAGAAGTCATTGATGCAGTTGTTACTCAAATTAATAAAGTTGGCGTTTTTGCAGAGGCTGGTCCGCTGAGCATATTTATATCCAAATATGTAAGGTGAATTAGCGCATTATTTTGCAGTCCATCCCTCAAAACATCAAGTTCGAAGGTGCCGAGCCAACGAATGAAAATGCGAATGAGGACGACGAAGAGGAGGAGGTCAAGCTTGACTCCTTTTGCGATTTTATCTTGCTCACTGACTTTGTGGGACTTATGTGAATGTACATTTGTAGAGCAGCAGTTAATCACACAAGTTAAATTTGAGCGCTTTTTGTATATTAACCATCCATTGCCTGAATCGAGAGCTTACCTCTTCTACTTTTGACTAATATCTAGACCCATATCGTCCAGATGGAGGATCGAATCCGACTGAGAATAATTGGCTTGCGCGTTGATGCTAGCGCCATCGTAAGTAACTTTTAGTTGGACTAGTAATTGGAAATGAGTGGATCAACCGCCTCCATTTTTTGTAGTTTGCTGTTGGCACGCTGATGGACGACTACCTAGGCACGTTGTAACATTACTTCTGCCATTTTATCGTTATTTCCGCTGTGCTATCTCTGCGTTACTCATCAGTACTTTTTCCACATTTAAGTCCTTGCGCATGAGAAACCGAATACGCAGTCATTTGTACATATTTGCAAACTTTATAAAGCGTTCCATTTGATTTTCTGAGTCAGTTTTCATACGATTTGGTAACCCTTATAGTGGGAATGAAGCAGTCATGCTTTAATTTGAACCATTTCCTTATGGCCAAGCACCAGTTTTGAATCGGGAGCAAAGAACACCGCGGAGCCGCTCTAGAGAATGGGCTTTTTCAGTACAAAGGTCGGAGGGTTCATCTTGACATAAAGACTAGTCACAAGATCTTATTCCTTCGTGCTCGAAATCGTGAAACGGGGCCATCACTTACTGCGGCAGGGTCAGCATCCCCAATGGAAGCGCGCCCTTTCTCAACAATTCGAGAAAAAGGTTCAATGGAATATTTTGGCGGCTGTGATGCTGATTTAACCTCAGCACCAGATTTGCCATGAGACTGGCGTTTTGTGAGCAGCCGATATGGACAGTCCGGTTTGGGAATATTTGTGGTTTCCGCTCCACGGCACTCACGCTGGACAAAGGCAACTACATCGGCTGGGGACGCCCTATGCCAGTCCTTGATGTCAGGGTCTACCGGAAGCGCTGTGTTACTGGAGCTGTAGATAGCGATGTCGGGAGAAACCGGGGATGTGTCATCCGAAGGCAGTTCATCTTGAGCTATTATTTCTGGAAGAGAAGGGGGGCTAGTGTGGATGCTTGTACGTTCCCGCATCCTCTCCACTTGGATACGCTTCTTGTGTTTGGCTTGCCACTCCTTTTCCCTTTCTGGATCGAACTCTTCGCGTATCTCAAATTCACCGCCTCCGTCACCTTCGCTTGAGACACTCTGCGGCTGTTCGCCTTTGACCAATCTTTGGGTGTAGGATACTCTATCAGTTAGAAGTCGTTTCTGTTCCTGAAGTTCTAGAATTTCCTGCTGGATGCGCCCGATTCTCTTATCGATAATGGATAAGGATTGGAAAGTTGATGCCTCGCAAAAGTGCCCAGCATTGCCGCCCAAGTAGACGAGAACTTCGTTCGTGTGTATCAAGCGAGCGGAAACGAGAGCCCTGGGCGAGAATGGAATAATAACTCTCTTTGAAAAGCACTTCGATAGGTCCTCAAGCCTTGTTTTCAGTTGCATGTACTCGTTAGTGTATGCCCCAAGTTTTCTTATTTTATCATCAGTTTTTTCGATAGCTTTCTGCTGCTCCTCTAGCAGTCTGTCAAATTGCTCCATAAGTGTCTAAGAGCTGGGTAAGAAAAGTCGTCACAAGATGTGAAAAAATGGTAAAGACCACAGGGAAGAAGCGCAAAAGTGCAGCAGATCTTTTTAAGAGAAGTAGTTGGCGAATTTTGAAGCACTCGGATTTAGATTGATATTACTGGCAGAACAACGGCACCATAAGGTAAACCAGCACCGAGATGGCATACGTAGCAAAGGTTGACCTTAATAAATTGCAGGCAGTCGAGGTAGCAGTGTTAGCATCATTTAAGAGTAATAGTTGTCATGGGTAAAGTTGATTGGTTGTATTGAAGGCATTTAAAAGCAAAATCGTAAAATTAATAATATAATTTCTTAGAAAAGGCTGATTTTTATCATTTTTGAATACACTTCTTAGAAACACTCTTATGGATGTAATAAGATGTAATACGATGGTGATTTATCCCTCAGTATTGGTGACGCACCACTTTTGTACTTTGAATTAGCCTACTTGTACCTTGCTGGGCGGGCTGGTCTTTGGGCAATGCCAATAGCCCAAACACCTCCTCTGCGCTGAACATGTATTCTGCCCGAGCATTGTGTCTTCTTTCATCTTCAGGGAAGTCTCGGGACGCTAAAAAGACATTATTTGAGAAGCATTATTATTGTTGTCAGTAAGAACTGAGAGATTAGAAGGAGGATTACAAGGTCTTAATGTTAAGCAAAATTGCAGCCACCAGTGGTCGAAGTACCAATGGTGCCATGGCTAGCATTCTCTCACGCTGGCCTATATATCACAACACACACCTACAACATATTGCATCCAAGTGGCCACTAACACCCGCATACACCTATGGTCACTAGCTTCATGCTTTTGGCCTTGATTTATGGTACACCTTTCTTTCATGTGCATAGTTGCTTATGTTCAACACCCGTCAGTAGTCTTGGCCTCATTCCACATTTTAGCTTGGTTAACATCGTATGCTCACGGAAACTTAACAAGATTGCTACTAAACTGTTAACTAGCGGCGGCTGATCTGGCCTATTTGATGGTCCTTCCACTGGCTTTACTATACAATAGCCTGACGGGCCTCCTCCTTTGCACGGAACCACGACGTCACACGTCATATGGTTTTCGCTAGCCTCTCATCCCAGGAAGAAGAGGGTACTACCCCGGGGAAGCCTAAGCTAGCCAAATAAGCGTTCTACCACTTGGCCATTATCCAATATTCCAGCAGACCAGGTTCTTCGCCCCTTACCCGGCACTCAAGTGGAGACTACGGTGATGGTATCTGAAAGATACCCTCGAACCCACTCAGAATCCCTCCACCTTTCACAGATATAGACCCACTCCGCACAACAGTATGAACCCTTGTACATGTTTAGCCACCCCCATCTGTGTAGTAATTTTCTGTATCTAGTCCAATGTTGTACGGACTTCTAACAGACCACGTCCCCATCCAGGATCCCGAATTCACCGTGGCTGAGGCTTGTAAGCATACAACCCCTTTTCTACCTTTAAAGCCTCAACTAAGCAGGTGATAGATGTGAACAAGTGCCGGTTTCTAAGGCGTAATACCTCGTTCCCGTAAACAAGTGCAAACCTCACCCTACTCTAACCATCAAGGAAGTGTCCTCGAACTGACAAATTTTAAGTACTTCATTTTGACATTTTACGATGCAATTCATTACTGCTCCAACCACTGCCATTGTGTCTTAGTTACCTAGTACTAAAGGTGTTGCAGCATGACATAACAGTCCACAAAACAAGCGCTGACAAGCAGTGAGAGCCCAACGTTGAGCAATTCCGCGGAGTAATTCTTAACACGAACCGCAAGAACCCAAACGGCGTAAAGTCACCGATAACTGCTTATCGGCTTTCCTACGTGTTGTACTTGAAAAACAGAAATAGCCCAGTGAGTATTATTTATCGGGTAACTCTAGATCACTTGTCTGTGAACTAACCAGCAGCTAAAGTTGAGGGTTCTGGGTGCATTAGTGGTGATGGCAGACAAGCGAGAGACATGTCAATATGTGCAAGCCTACTCAAGTAGAGATCACTGCTATACCACCAAGATGAGTCTGACCCAAATGGTAAGGCGACCAACCGAAAAAACACGTTCGCCAGCGAACCGACCAGGATGCGAACAGAGCGAATCGGGTACTGTTTCAACTCCTATTATAAATCTGTTGCTGATTATCCATGATTGAAACTAGTAATGACCGAGACAAGTCAGATAAACGATGCAGAAAAGTTTATACCAACATAGGCAGGTTAATTAAAACGTTATCTAGTAATTACAAAAAAATACCCGGTAAACGCCTGAATCTGATGGAACAATGCGATCATGAAAGATCTGTCCACTTAATCGGCTCCAGATGATGCTCCTTGAGGTAGGCGTTCGCTTTGCTGAAGTGCTTGCAGCCGAAGAAACCGCGGTTAGCAGAAAAGGGAGAGGGATGGGGGGCATGCAAGACCAGATGTCTCTTCCTATCGATGCCCGCGCCTTGAGCTTGCGCATTCGCTCCCCACAGCAGAAATACGACATGCTTTTGATGAAAAAGTTAAGCTAGATGATGGGATGTCATTAAATAATGGGATAAAAAAGAAACAAACAGAAGCCATCAACTCTTGTCCAAGTAAAATGCAACTACCCCGATAACAACCTCCAATCTCAAGCTTATGAGAATTATGAACAGTTACAACGGAAGCAGATTTACAAGTTGTGTACCTACTGAGCAGTGGAGGTTGATGTAGTTAATGACAGCCCCAGTAAGTTTCTCCCAACCCTGGTCCTTATGCGAGTTCGGCTGAGAAGCGCGGACGGTGAGGACAGCGTTTAGTAGGAGGACGCCCTGCTCCGCCCAGCGAGTAAGGTCCCCGTGACAGGGCGGCCAGCCCTCGGGCACGGTGTCGCAGTCAGAAGCAATCTCCCTGTACATGTTAAGCAGGCTCGGTGGAGGGCGCTGCGGCTGCCTCACCGAAAAGGCCAATCCGTGCGCCTGTCGCGGACCATGGTAGGGATCCTGGCCTAATATAACCACCCGCACCCTCCTCGGCGGTGTCAACTTGCTCCACGTAAAGACCTATGAAATTCATGGTGAAAAGTCATACATAAATAAGCCTGTTCTATGTTATAAAAGTGTTAATTATGGGTATATACTTGGTCTTTATAGGCATGAAAATAGGTTGTGGAGAGTTAGAAAACAAGCTATGTGTGCCATAAAAGGAAAAAAGTGGTTTTATCTCTTCTCATACAATGCTTTAAAGAAAAAAATGTCCAATTCTACCAATAAATAAATGTGCGGACATTAAACAAAGTCCGATTTATCACATCATCACAAAGACAGTTATGGTCGAAAACTGTGAATTAGAAAACGTTATCGAATAACAACCACAAAAAAGTGAACAGGTCGATATATTGCCACCAATGCCTAAGTCAAACTCAAATTCAAAAAAGACAGTGGTGAATATAGAGCATGGGGTAAACAGCAGTTCATATTCCTAGCAGCCAAAAATGTTAAAATCCAACTTCCTTTGCATCGTTATGCAAGGACAATCATACATAGATACAGATAACTAGCTAAAACAGATGAGACTCCAAAGTGTCTCATCCACGGAGGACATTTTAAAGATAGTTTATAGCAAACTTAAAATACATAGAACTCACCTCCTCTTGTGGGGGATAGATAGTGGTCTTGGCTCGTTCCTGTTCTATGAAGTTTGCCAATTTTGTAAAGGAATCACTTCTGATTACGCTTGCCAAATAGAAGCACCACTCTGAATCCATATTTCGAATCAAGGTTTTAACAGCGTTCGGCAGTTTGAGCTTAAGTTCCGCAACGCTGCGGTTAATCTGAGACCGGCTACTTGCATCATCGGGGGATATGTTAACAATTTCTTTGTCACTTGAGGCTTTTGCCACTGATGAGTCGCACTCGGTTCGTTGCACCTTGCTCTTTGGGCCAAATTCTGGCGATGATCTCCTTAAGAATTTTAGAATACTTTGCTGAGCAGACATCCCCACCGATCACTGAAGCGCTAACTAAAACAACTACCCTTTCGTGGGGGAGCTCCCGCCATTTAAGGTTTTGTATTTGTTTCATCAGATCGAAATAACTGAATAGGTAATTTTAATATACTCATAATTTCGGAAAGTAACAATTAATAGGTCGCAATATTTAGCGAAATTAGGGTTGGTTCGTCCGTTCGGCAGAGTCACAATGTCAACAATTTATGTTCAGTTCAGTATATGCAATAAAATCAAAATATTTCTAAGGTCACGTCTGAACTTTTTTCCCTAAAATATCTAAATATCATGTTAAAGAATGCTTTGAGTTGTCCTCGTCGTCGCTGAGATCGTATTGTTTAGCTTCCCTACCTTCCATTATTTATCATGTCTGCGATACGCGTAAAAACCTGCGCGGCTCTCATCCACGCTGACAAAGCAGTAGATGGGCACACCTTCAAGCGTCGACAACTCCACAGCCTTCACAAATACTTTAGAGCAAACCGACCGCTAGGGCGACCTGCACCAAGTCAGCCTTAAAAGCCCCAGCCCGTGTTCGAGTCCACCAGCCAACCAACCGAGTTATACCAAAGCAAACCACATTTCAAATTAGAATGTCGTCAGAGAAGTAGAACAAAATTGGATTTATTAAAACGAAACGCAAATCACTTGCGTGAACCAAAACGATTCCTGAGACGAACCCGTGATCAATATGAGAAGCAACGTTCTATCATTTCGTATTTGAGAAAAGGGAACGCCTAACTGAGGCTAAAGTCAGACAGAGAGCAGGAGACATTTGCCAAATTGATCAAACTCGCAAAGACACACGGGCTCTGATTCAACACTTTTGGTAGAGGCGTGAACAAGGGCAGGATGAGGCGGTCAGGTGCTGCGAGGTGGGGGGTTTACTCGTGAAGGCTTTTTGGTGCGTTGCCTCGAGGATTTCTTATGGACAATGGGGTTTGCCTGAAGTAAGCAAGGGGCAGATAAATAATGTACGCCACAAATGTCAACAGTGTAGACCGCACTGGTCAATACTCACGAAGTTTTGATGAGAGGTCCCCTTGCTGTCACTACACTGCTTCGAACCCGGTTTCCGCAGATAAAAACGCCCGAACGGAAAATTGGCTGATAATATTTCACCACTCACGGCGGGTCTGATAAAATAACAAGACAGTTATGATTTTGTTTGCAGAAAAGCACCGGATTTGGTGAAACATATAATGTAGTTTAGAAAACACTATAAGTTTGATTTGCTTTTACAAATAAGTGACAGAGGCATGCCATTCGTGCCATAAACATCTATAAAAGCGAGACCTTGACTTCATTACTAATAATATGGAAAAGAGACGGCTGGGACCGAAAACTATGTAGCATTAACTTGCAAATCCGACTTCCGTTTCGACTTAAAATCACTAAAAGAAAAAGACAAGTTGAAAACACCTACTCCGAGCGTTTGCGGGGCCGCGAGCTGCACTTTCGCTTTCTCGTGGAAAGTGAAGTCTTCGCCCTGAAACATGGTTCCCAATGCGCAGCAAAAAACATGAAAACGCCCATGAGCAGGCTTAATCTGACGGGTTCGTGGCAAATGCACCAATCTTTCTAATGGTAGAGTGGATTGCGGAGTTGATATAAACAGGAAATAATCGATCATAGCCTACTTTTGCGTACATGTTGTTTCTGTGATTTTTTAAGGCATTGACTCGTCTTCAAATGTGGAGCGTACTTAATTTTCAATGCTATGCTTCGACTAACCGTCTGCTTGCAGCAGTGGCAGGTGATCTCGATCCCGAAGGTTCAGTCCCTTTTCTCTGACCAATAACCGCGGAGCTTCTAAAAACGCAGCATACAACTAAACATCGCATGCGTTATTTCCGCAAATTTCTGTTATTCAAATTCATAAGTTACAAAATCGAGAAAACTAAATGCATGTTTGTTTCTCAGGTGGCGCACGTCAATTTACTGATAAAAGCAATGCAAGGCAGTGAACATTCAGCTGTTTGGAGAGTTAGTTCTAGAAAGTAGGAACAACAAGTGCATCCATCATTCGAGTTTGAATGCAGGTTGCACTTATTGGTGACATTGGGTTGTTTCATGATAACGTTAATAAACGTAATCCCAGACATACACCAAATGTCGCGAAACTAGAGTGAAAATTTCAGATAAAAAGCTAAGTATTTACCAGAATAAATTTTAACCATAGTCGCACTGCAGTATCTTCTGCCATTTTTGAATAAGCTAACATTCAGCTCGTTCAGCATTTCAATAAATCTAGCTTCTTTGCCTGTTGAATAAAGAACGAAAAACATAAATAGAACCTTGTTAGCTTTCACCGGAATACCTGTTACTTTCCGATTGTATAAAGTGGCATAAGCTTATCCAAGGTTGTGTAAAATGGAGTGAGTAAAGCCCGAAAGCCGTACTTAACGCAAAACTGGAAACTGAATGATAGGAATCGGAAAAGTGAATGCGCACTTGACGGGATTCCGAGGATAACTAGTCTCTTGAGGTAGAGACGAGCCATTACGTTCACTCTGATCGCGAGTAAGAGAGGGAAGCGTTACTTGGAAGGTGATTGACGACTCCTTACGAATAAAGCTTCGTGTCGAGGATAGATCATCAGGAGGTACGGATAATTCCTCCTGTAGACCCGCCAGGAGTCTTGTTCTCGGATTTGGAAGTGAATTAGATCCTTTTCGCTAACAAAGAAATTCTTAGCATCAGGTGGAGAGATAGGAATAAATAACTAAAACACGGTATTGCGAGCACTAAAAGGATTAATTAAAATTAAGGTAGAGGGATCTAGTGCCAAAATCGACAACGGACCAGCCATCAATCTGGCAGTAGTATTACGGATGAGAAATGACAACTAAATCTAGCTAACTTACCTCTAATTCCTCCTGCACCTTCCGCATTCTGGCTATGGTAGCAGCAGTGTCGGCAGTTAGGTAGGCGGGGAGATCACGGGGAGTAGCCACGGCGTAAATGACAGTCCCGTCTGGCTGATGTGAGAGTGGAGAGTCAAGATTTTGCTCAATATCTGTTGTTTCCGCACTGGCTAATCTCGTGCTGCCTGAATCCGCAGCAAGTAAACTAGGACCGCTCACTTTCGGTCTTGCTAACTCTGTCATATAGGGCTCAGGTGAATTTGATTTCGCAACGCTTATTCTTGCGGCAGCAGGTTCAAAAGGAATTCCATTTTGATCAGACGTTTCAAGAGCAGACGCCTTTATGCTGAATGCTTGCATCTCAGCTGCTTCCAAATCAGTCAAATTTGCAATAGAAGCACTCTTTACGTTGGCAGTGATAGATTCAGTGAGAAGTCCCTTTTCACCAACATTCGTCGCAGTGACTGAAACAGCAGCCAGTGACTCCCTGTTGATTGATTTGGCTATAAACAGTTTCACACTAGTCGGCCCCGAATGTTTTGCTTCCGTGCCGCTTGCCTCAGCAGAAGGTGATTCCACAAAACCCGATCTAACGCCAACTGATAGTACAGAAGCTGACTTCGTGGCACTACTTTTCGGAATGAAAGACTCTCCTGTGGCTACCTTCGCATTCGCCTTCTTTGTACTGGTTAATTCAATGGCAGGTGCAGTCGTTGCACCAGCTGAAGGCATAACAAATACTTCCCCGCCGAGTGATTTTAAACCAACGTATTTCACATAAGTGGGTGCCTCATCAGTTATCTTTACACCTATTGGTTTTGCATCAGCTCCTCTCGCATCGGCTGTTTTCCCACTGACCAATGCTATAGCGCCTGCGCCCCCGCCATTGGCTTCCACACCCTCCGGTCCCATGATAGCTGGCTTCATTGCAATTGGTCTTTCATCGGCCAGTTTCTGGAGGATAACCTTTGCTTCGCTTGCTTTCCTCCCAACCGCATCTCCAGAAACCGTATTTGCACCGACTGACTTAGCACTAGTTGTTTCCGCGTTACCAACCTCCTTGCTGCCGACTTTTGCGTCAACTGATTCCAAGACGATTGCTTTTGCATTGTTTGCCCCCCTAGTATCCGCCTCTGGGGCAGCTGACTTCATGCTGCCCACTTTCACAGTGTCCGACATCATACTAGACGCCTTTACATCAATCGATTTAGAACCGACTGATATTCTGGAAGATACAATATTACTTCTTTCTTCGGAACTAATCAACCCACTGAAAGCTGATTTTCTCGTGTCTACCTTCACAGCAGGTAGCATTGCAAAAGCAGATGCTGCGGCGACATCGTGCTCTTCCTTTTGATCTGCCGATAGTAGTGTCTGTACTACTGTCTCCGACTCCTACAACATTCAACCAAGTGCGGTCTACCATTGTACAATCGAGAATCAAACTTAAACATGCTATCAAACTCATTATTCTAAAAGTTAAACTTCTTAGGTAGTGATACGAATAAACCTATTTTACAATATAGTTACCTGTTTAGTGAAAAAGTGAAAGTAAATAAATGGGACAGGCTATACTAATTTAGCATAAAGTCAGAGGATTCCAGCGCATGAGTAGCTAACTACCTCGAGAACATTGTTCGTTGAAGGAGGTTCAAGTCTAATGGAAATGAGAGGAGTTTCACTTGGGACCAGAGGAGAATAGGAGAAACGACGAGTCTGATGAATGACACCCCCTGAGGGAGAGGGGGCATTAAAGAAGTGGGTTTGGACGGTGAACGTCCTCCCTACGTGAAAAATTCCCTCCCCGTTTCGATTCTGCTCCGCGGATGACTCCACGCAGGCTTCGTTGTCCAAAAAGGAGTGGAGTGATACGGAAGGAGACGAACTCATATCGATGGAGGCACAGGTTTCACAGTACGTTTCAGTTGATTGGTTTCTCGACCTAGTCCCACATTTTTTGTCTGTCGACTCGGACAACTGACATGGAATCACTCCGGTAAGATGAAGTTTAGGAGTTAATTTGTGGATTCACTGCAAAACTTACGGCGTTAGCGTTGTACGACGGTGTGATACGGCCCCCACCAGCATTGCAGTATGTTGTCAATGAGTAGAAGGTTGGATTTTCGAGAGGATGAGCACTCATAGTACTGTCACTTCCGATCAGCTCTATGTCATCACATCGATTAACAACTGGAAGCGATTTTGATGGATTAGTCAATTCAAATCTAGCCAAGAGAGTTGATTTCCTATTAGTGTCAGAGATTGGCGTTGGCAGAATAGACTCTGATTGTAAACGCATGAGAGTCGACACAGAACTTGTGCCAACTCCGCGTGAAACTCGTTCTAACTGGAGTCTGGCCGAACTGCATGTGTCCAGATCAACTGAGGGTGACTTAGGGGGATGCAGCAGCATCCTAATCTTGAAAGGTGGCCTCATGGGCAAACTATGACTATTTAACAAAGTACCTGGTGGTGGCTCTTTCTCCCCATTCATTAGATCATTCGACTGACGAAGGGGTGAAGCGTTGTTGTTGGTAGTTATGATAGAAGAGAGATCACTGGAGAGGGGGGAAGAGGACTCGTCTGCCATGACGTCGCCGCGAAGACGAGCAAGCGTGCTAGCGGAAGTATGTCGTTCACCCTTCACAATATTCAGCGTTCCGACTGAGACGTCACCCGACGGTTGTACATGCGATTCTTTGAACTCGTTTCCAGAGCCAATGGAGAGACCACTTCGGAGGGCATGCAAAGTAGTAGTCGCACTTCCACCTGACGTTACAGACGGAGCTACTGGCTTATACGGAATGGGCTCCTGTGAAGCCTCTAGTTCCGAAACAAAAGGTACTTCAGCCGGAAAACAAGGCGATTGAGATGACAAACAACTAAATTGGTTCGAAGGACGGCTGGAAGAATTTGGAGTACTGTCTGTCGGTATCGAGGCGTTGGAAATTATCTGGGAGTTCATCTTATCTTCTAAGCCGGTGGCGATGGATTGAAGGCTGTATTTTATTCTCTGAAACCAGATACAATTTTGTGCCGACGATGGTGAGGAAGTAAGGTGGATTGGTGTCGGTTTCAAGAAAGGATTTGAACTGGTTGTTTCACAGGTAGCGTCTGGGGCAGTTGAAAAAGTAGGAAAGTTGAGCAAATTCGTTGAAAGTGCTCGAGACGCACATGAAAAGACGGCTGATTCATTGCTCCGGGGTTGAGAAGGTGCGCCTGAAATTAATTCACTTCTAACAACCTTAAGTGGGGAAGCAAAGTAATCATCTTTAGATGTTTTGTTGTATCAAGGACTGGTACAAAAACTGTTATAGAAACACTTTGTGTAATATCGACATAAAAAATGTGCAAAGCATAGTTGAATAGGTTTTTAGGCCACTCATTTTAAGAAAGCATTACGATGACATTACTTTGGCATCAAAAATACAACTAACAATTTAGTTACAAAAAATTGGCACACATGAGAGTAGCAAATGCATTACGATATCAATTAACAGTAAGTACTTGGTTCCTACACTTTAAAAGCTTGAAAGATGAACAGGCCTTCTATATAAAAACTGATGATCAGACAAATACTACAGTTACTAAAATACTCCCCTTCCCTATCAAATAAAAAATCAACGTTGTCAAGTACTTACAGTTTTGTTGGCTAACTGGTTCTGTACTGGAACTTGTAGTAAATCAGCACCCAAATATGTTTTTATGGAGTCAGTCTTGCCCTCTTGATGCAATGGTGAACTGTCATAAACAATATATTCCTTTGCAGCTTCTGGAGCTTGGAGACGAATGAATCCAGACTGACTAGGAAGATGATTCACAGGCGAGCTTTGACGATGTGTCCCAAGTGTGCCTGAGGCCGATTCAGTGATGGTGAATTTCTGCCTCATTGAAGCCGATGACTTGAAGTTTTTTTCTGTGTCAGTACTCGTTAAAGAGATCGGTAGGGTTTGACAGGAAAGTACACTGAATTGATTTAATGGACGACCAGAGGAGCTATCGCACGATATTTCTAAGGCAGAACTTGAAGAGGTGACAAAACGTGGGAAAAAAGTAGATGACAAAGCATCTCCTGAGTCATTTCTATTCAAGTGACTGACAGAATGTTCTTTCGCATGGGGAGTGGAGGCGGAGCTATGTACGGAATGGTTAATAGGCTTCAAAATCTCATTTTGTTCACAAAAGCGGCGTTTGAAACACCCCTGCAATAAGTCAGAGTCAGAGCATGGGGGGCTTTGACGACTAAAAACATCTCTTTCCAAAGGTTTGGGGGGGTTGGGACCTAAGGTCTCATCGGAAGGGAGTGTATTCCGAGGCTTGAAATTGTTATTATACTGATTAGGACAAACAGGTGATATTCGATCAGTAGATTTGGAGACAACGTTGTTAATCAGGCGGATTTGTGAGGTAGATGTTGGTGATAAATAAGTCCCACTGCAGTGCAATGTCGAAATCTCAGACTTCATGCGGTAGGTTTCTAACAATTGCTAGAAATGAGACGGAAAAACAGATAAAATCAGTCTACTTACATAGATATCTTTCGTTTAGTTTTTCTAACAAACCTTGAGATAATGTCGAAGAAGTTCCTTCTTCCTTACCACGAAATCCCCAATTGTCCCCGTAAACAAATCCACGTCATCATCTCCTGCTTCCTTAAAAGCTAACATAATGAAAATTAACCTACGATGGGAATGTTCATTACATGACCTGTTATTTAAAACCAGGCTATTCCACTATAAAGCTTCCTATCTTAGACTAATGCCAGAAAATACAGCACTTTCGACAAACTTATTGAACTAAAACTAAATTCGGCGCTAATGCCGGAGTGGTGTGTAAAAATGGAATGTCACCAGTTCTACTGCAAAACAAGCCTGATAATGCCTTAAATATACACAAATGGAAACGGTACCGTCAAAAAACTGAGATCATGTTTAGTGAACATAACATCACCACAAAATGAACGACCTAATAGGCAGGCGCCAGTGAGGCTGATTTTAGACGAGATGGTAGTCTGATCGGCCGCGGCGACGGGCGTGGAGGTAGAGGAGGACGGCATGGCGTAGCTGCTTGGCGTCGATAGCAATATTTGACTTAGGGGAGAGAGCCTTTGCAGACTTGGGAATAAGTCGGAGGCGGGACTCATCATCGGCTGCGCCCAGGAACGGCAGGAGTTTAATGGAGGAGTGCTCAATGTAAGCGAAGTGGCATCATCCAAATTATGTGAAAGCTGAGAGCGAATGACCATCGAGAGTAAAAACCTGCCTAAGTAGGAGGCAGCGAAGCGTTACACATGACATACCTTTACAGGACTGAAGATTGGGGTTTTAGCCGGTAATGAGAGACTTTGGAGATCTGCATCATCCCCATGAGCCAAACTGATGAAGCAATGGGGTAGTTGCCCAGGCGTTTCACAGGCAGAGGCATGGTTTTCCGCATTACTGGCACGGATGCATTCCGTTTGCCGCAAAATCAACTCCCGTGCACGCCTTCGCAGTGACTCCACTACAGCGAAAGGCTTAGCCCCAGTGCCCGACTTTGCTAACGTAAACGCGCCTGTTTCCGTGATTAGAAGAGGAACGGGAGAAGGGGAAATAATTATTGGCGCCGTAGGACTCGGTGACTGCTTCTCTTTACCCTTTTCGTTCGATCGCACATCCACAAGTGACAGCTTTGTTGAAACGCCCAAAAATAAGTTTACTTGAACTCAATATATAGAGCAGAATACACTGATTGCTTAAACTTGAATGGTTTATGCAAAGGCAGCAAGTATCGTATTTACAATACAAAATTGTAAATAAAAATAAACGTTTACATAGGGTATTTAAACACTCGCTGGGAGGCTGTAGCATGTGATATTGATATTCAACACAAAGAGCATTACGATGCTGCACATGGGAAGTCTAGCTGTTATAAACTAAGTTCGCGCATTATTTTTTTGATAATAGCAGTTAAACGCCCCCAGAGCCTCTTGCAACATTCGTTAAAATAAGCATCTCTACAAGCCATAATCATTCTAAAGGCCGTCCTCAACGAGACAAGCCTGTTGCGCATTCCACGCTGATGAAACTCTTCATCGCTAAAAGCCAGAAAAACCTGGTCCCAGTCACCTCCGCTCCTATCTCCCATTTGCTTCCCACCTGTCCATTCTATTTTGCATGCGATTATGTATTGCCAAGAAAAGGTGACCGTCATCATCTGAAGAAGTGGCATGTTAAGGGAATACGTAGGATGAGGAAGAAGTCATATCGCCTTCCTATCCCTGAGTGCTTCTGATGTAACTTTCAAAAGCAAGCACACATTACAACCCAATGCATGGGACAGAATGCACGGACATTTGCGGTCACGAATAAATGCTATAGCTGTTTTAACTCCTCAAACTCAAACCAGACGCATATCGAAGTTTAATGAAACATACCATATGTGAAGTATAATGTCCACTTTCGACGCTTTCCTTCAATGCATCAAAATTGTTACAAATCATCTGACACTTTGTTCCTCTCATATCCGTACCAATCCTGCCGTCGATGAAACCAGAGGGCCGGTTCTCAGTGCGGTATAGTGTTCTATCTTGTGTCACTCCCGTCATCGTCGTCGTCCCAGGTTGCTTAATTTTAAATGAAAAGAGGACTCCCACTATTTCGCATTAGGTGAAAGAAGCCAATCGAGATAAATAACATTGATATCCCTGCAATAAACCGGACCTACAAACGACTACTAAACAAACGTTTGCAAGCAAACGTTAGATGATGCCACGCTCTATACATTGAGTGAAATTTGGGAAAAAAGACGACCGGATGTGCATCCGAATTAAAAAAGAAACATAACATTGCGAAATATCACAAACCAAGCACTCAAAAACACGCGTGAGGCACCAGAAATGGGATAATGGTATGTAGTTTTAAATGGGTCAACGATTTTACGATTAGTTATTTACCAGTAGCACCTAGGAACAACAAGTTGCCTTCAGTCTTGGGAATGCCAGGTCTTAAAATTTCCCTAACTCATCAATATGACATTCCATGGAAGTAACTCAATAGAGACTAAAAGTAAAATTGACTAAATGATGTAACATTTCAAAGCAGGCAAATTACATTTGAGTTGGCGCAACCCACTGCCGCATATCTAAATGGTAGAGAATTGAGCAATTGTGTGCTAATAGCAAAACATGTCAGTTGACCGCAAAAATTTAAAAAAAACTTAAGTTAGACGTTTCAGAGATGCATTACCACGTCGATGACCTCCAAAGGAGACTGCGGATGAATTGTCACCGAATCGGAAGAAGTGGATGGTGGACTGATTCGCGTTAAATTCACTTCAATACCCTGTGCTGACCGCCTAGAAAGAATGCTCTTATTAAACGTTTCGCGCAACTCCCGTATCGCCTTATCTATATTTTCGACTTCGGAGCTGCAAATAAAGAATCATTTCATTAGATGCAAATAGGCGCCAATTTACGAAAAGGAGACGCGTACTCCAGTTGCATCTTTATGCGGTCAAACGAAGTAATTTCACTCAATTCGGTAGATGATAGAATATTATTTACTCCGGAGACGCAGTAAGATTCTAAATCTGGAACTTTGTTGACGTTGAAATGAACTTCCAGAGGTTTAAACGCATTCAGTGCATTTGTTCCTGTCGAGTCCAGGCCTGTCGCCTCCGAAGAGTCACTAGGGCAGAAAATCTTTGCCATTAAAGTGTGGGGATTGGGACGGATAGTCGCGATAGAGAGGGGAAGAATGAGAGACCTTTTGCGAAAGATCAGTGTCTGTGAGCTATCAGAGGCGGGGTGCGGCGAAAGAAGAGGCTGGGCGATGAGGCTCTGGCGGGGAGAGAGTGCCAGGGGTGGCAAACCGGCGCGCTCACCAGGTCCCAGGCCCGAGAGGTCTGGGCTCGGATGCATAAGGGTAGTGCATTGGGTATCTGGCTGCACGTATTCCAGAAATAAATCCAGTAAATACGTGTATAATAACTATGCTAGAAAAGAGTGGTTATAATACAGAAACATTCGCGGGGCAGTGTCATGAATTCCGATGCAACGTTAAACATTCCCCGATATTTTTGCAAACTAAACGATTGAGGGTTGACATAAATACAAGTGAACCATCTGGAGAGAAAACCCTATAAAGGCGAATTTGAGGCACAATAGAGCTACTAATACAATCAATCCGCAATGAAAACACAGTGATTGGCTTAAAAGGCGGTAAGGGGAGTTTATTTGGTAAAACGGACGTACTATAGGTTTTTCATCAGATGAGCTTGGTAGTGGCCGCTCCACGAATGATGATCCATCGTGGATATGAATGCTTTGATCAATCCTCAATCCGCCTACAGGAACAGGGTCCGGATGTTGCGTCAACAGCTCATACTCCTGCATTGCATGGGTTCTGGAGTTGTGAAAAAGTCTCTACTAGTGAAGGTGAGTCGAGTTATTTCATTTAAATTGTATAATTCCTGGCAATATGCATATCACTACAGACCAAAATGGTTGCCAAACCACAGGTCAACCTACTGAACTTGACAGAATACAGTAGTATTAAATAACCCTTCCTAGATTTTAAGCTATCACTATAGCCTAGTAAGGCATATAAGTAGACACATGGAATGCTAAGAGGGAGTAAGATGCGTGAGCACACCGTTTGAGAGCAAGTTGTGCTCGGATACGCGACTTGAGCGCAGCCTCGGTGGCAAGACGGAGAGTGCGTCGGTGGGCGAGATCGGCGCGGGCGTTCTCGGCTGCTGCGGTGGTGAATGCATCGTCATTCGCAGCTCCAGTCGCACAGCTCGAGTCTAAGTGGCAAACATTCAATCCGCACTGGGCCTCCCCAGCCATCACTCCCCCGCCCAGCAATCCACTTCTCTTCTCTGATTTCTTTGCCCTTTCTCTTCCCCAGTTTCCAGACCCCAGTGGCACCCGGTTCGCATCCACTACCAAGTGGCACTCCTTGTGGACCTCACCTAAACGATAAATACCTACCTGTGAAGATACTCCCAACTAGACAAATAGTATTTTGCATGAGCTCACTTAAGCAACGGGTGCAGGCATCACCATTCGGATTAAGATGAGGGTCAAGAGGGTCACATGAAGGCGGTGGGAGGGCCGCGACGGCCGCCGCTCTTGCTTGCTCGGCCGCTCGGGCGGTCTCACGGAAGTGATGCCGCATCTCTGCCTCTCGTAATGACCGTGCCCGAGTCACCAACAAGTCCGTATACGCCTCATCAAAACGCTTTTTCGCAACGACCCTCATGGTAGAGAGTCGTTTCTGCTCCTCAATCATTGGATCCTTCTAAATCCGTTAAAGCAGTTGTACACACACAGCAGTAATGCGACCGAAAAAATCCAATTTTAACATTGTGCCCTCGATAATAATCCCCATGCGATTCGTCACAGTACATAAGATGTAGAACAAAATTAACCTCAACAAAAGGAATGTCGGAGTGCCATTTTTGAAATATTGCGGAAAAAATACCGATAGTATAAACCGACTTCCTCTTTAGTGGACGGGAAAATACATTCAAAAAAGTCAGTATTTACTAAAAGACAAGTAGAAAGCCTAGCTAATTTTTGTCATTAAAATGACAAATAACTGAGTGTATGCAAATGAATACTGATCAATATCCGTTAATTGTAAACAAATTAAGGATTAGTGAGTGCCAGGAGGTACTACCACAGTACCAACTAGTCATGTATTAGGAAGTGCAAAAGCAGATCCACACTTGTGCAACCAAATTTAAGGATAATTCGTATTTAATACAATCAAGTCCATCAATTACCCAAGAAGAGGCAATCCTGTGGCCATATCCAAAGCTATCCATAATGTTATTAAGTGCACTTTGTTTACTTTGGAGTAATGCAAAGTCTTCAAGCATCTGCTGTCTCTGTAGACGTCGATTTTCACAATCTAGATGCTCCAATTTCTTTCTCTGATACATGTTTCTAGCTACTGCGGAATGGATCTTCGACAAACGACGAACCTGCTAAGTTAATAAAATGGACCGGCGAACCTGAACGATCCTAATTTGGCGTCTTTTTAGGATCTCTGAGGCTTTTATGTGGTTGATTTCACAGGAATTTGGGTAATATAGAGGAGTCGCGCCACCGACCATCTGACAGTCTTGTGTTGACACTTTCGAATGAAGCGCCGCGGCAGTGCAAATGATTTGCAATATCAAGGAACAATTAATAAAGAATTCAGATAATATTAATTAGTTAAGTTTAAAAAGCAATTACAAAATTATTCTTGCGTGATCGACATTTAAATACCAGAACAGAAATAAGGGCTATTTTTTTATTTCAAAAAATGATGCATTAGGAAAAATCAGTAAAATAAGGGTGGAGGAGTTTTTTGGGAAAAGTGGTAAGGGTAAATGAACTTTGATAAAGTAGCTTTTGGTTTTAAGATACGACCTGAGGTGCAATGATGCATCGTCCCTTGTTAATTATTCCCATTTATTAATGTATGTTAGAATATACTACGTTTATGGCACATGCGATTTCTGTGCTAGATTACCTTGTTGCTTTGACTCTGCTGCTGAAGCCTCTTCTCTACAGCAAAAATCTGGGCTTTTCAGTACCCGTAGGCTGTATTACTTTTATGCAGTGGTATTTCGTCCCCGCTTGTAACCGCCCGACTGTTCGGTACGTTGCAATACGGGGTTCTTTTGCAGAAATGTGAGTAGTTGCGGCTTTGGGGACCATAAATGTCTCTAAACCTGTAGCTTTCTATCCCAGCTGTACATCACTAATACCCCATCTGCCTCTTTCGCATTGTAATACAATGATGGTTTATCCATCGGTATTGGTGAGGCGCCACTTTTCTGTACTCTGAATTAGCCTTCTTGTACCTAGCTTGGTATGCTGGCCTTCAGGCCATTCCATTAGCCAAGACACCTTCTCTGCGCTGAATTTATATTCTGCCCGAGTATTGGTCTTCTTTTGACTTAAGGGAAGTCTCTGAACGCTACAGCATAGCTAATATGAACTTTTTAAAAGCTTCAGTGCGCTGCTGTGGCGACAACAGTAGGCATACCGCAACTAAATTCGCAAACATTTTGTTTAATCAGAAAAGTTTAAAAGTTATTATACATGTTGGCATTTAATGCAGATAATTAAAGCCGTGGAGAGTTATATAGGAGAGCCCAGAATTGTGCATTGCAGAAAATTGGGTTTTAACAACATTCATACAAATAACGTCACCATAACAGTCTGCCGGGATTTGGGCGTCATTTAAAGGGTGCTCGACGAAATCATCTCGCCTTGCATGGTGCACCATATCTGGAAACCACGTGTGGATCAGCAGATGACATTTATCTCAATTGGTAGTGTTCAAAATGGGGTATTTTTGCAGCTGGGATCATAGAAATAGTCCCACAGCCCCAAGTAAAATTGGATTAAGCAATATCTTTGGACCATAAAAAATCTTTAAATGGGCCATTGCAATACTTATATTGCTTTAATGTTACTTTCGGGGAGGAGGCGGGAATACGACTTGAATCCCAGGGCAGAATTAACCTCTCGCAAGTCTGGGAGCGGTTGAGGATCCTCACTCTGCTAAACCCAGTACTAGTATTCCCCATTCAGTTGCCCCAATAAACACGTCGAAATCAAGCCAATTTGGTTGTGTGAATAGTACAAGAAACAGAAAGAGAGGATTCACGAGCCTCGTTCGACACCAAATTTTTTTCAAAACATTTTAGGATTAAAAAAGAGCAAGAATATAATGAAAGTAATACGATAGTGGTTTATCCCTCGGCATTGGTGAGGCGCCACTTTTGTACTTTGAATTAGCCCCCTTGTACCTCACTGGGTGGGCTGGCCTTTTGGGCCATGCCAATACCCAGACACCTTCTCTGCGCTGAATATATTCTGCCCGAGTATTGTGTCTTCTTTCTTCTTCAGGGAGTCTCGGGACGCCACATGAAATTGCTTCATCCCTCGTAACACATGGCGTTACATTGAGGGGATTTTTCGGGAATTTGGATTTGGAAAGGCATGTTCACACAAACAATTGTCTTTGCAAAATATGAGGAGCAGAGCGAGTCTGACGAAAGTAAAAACATGTAGGTGTAAATAGGGGCCATCTTTGTCGCATCAATGGCGGAAAAAATTTATTTAAGTGTTTTTTGACCCATATATGGAGTGATTTTAAACAAAAGCAAAGTAATTTTTAAAATTACTTTAATGAGAGGCAGTAATATTTTCGGCAATAATGCAAAGTTTGGTATAATGGCCTAAAAAAATTTAGTAATATATTTATGCCTTCCAGAGGATAAACTGTTAAAATTTCAACTCTGCATGCCTTCATGGCCTAATAATAGCGTTTTTAATTCTTATCAATTCGTAACTATCATG